AAGATTCGATTGTTTATTTCATTAAAAAATTTAAAAAAACACTGTTTTGCGTTTATAATAAATGTCAATGGCAACATTTAAATAAGTTTTAATTAACTTATGTAATGTTAAATATACATTTTTAGAGTAGGAAAAAATATTTTCAATATACAAATACATCGGATTCACTATAGTTCGCTTTTAAAATTTCAAAATAAACTAAATTCTAATTTAGCAAAATAAATTTAAAGGAAAGTACACGAAATACATTTAGAATATAAATATAAAATTGTATATTAATTAAAAATATGAAAAAGTATTCAAATTATTGTCCAAAACGCTGAGGAAAATTACCAATGCTCCATGGTTCTTCACAAACGATGACATCTATAAGCAAACTAACATCAGTTTCGTCAAGGAAAAATTAGCAAAGGCTAGCACAAGATACTATCATCGGCTAGAGAAACACCCAAACCCACCCAACTGATGCTACTGCAGATCATCGTCAAAGACTGAAGAGGTTTAAACCGCAAGACTTACCCAACCGATTTTAATAATCAATAAGTCAATGTTTGCAAGTGCATAAATAATTATTGTATATGTGAAGTGGGGTTGCTGGATCATATCTTCATTAAGTATTATAGTGTCTTTTTTTAATTTTTCTTTTTACCACATTCATAAGGCTTGATATATACACTCGGTCCTCTTTTTATGCGGTTTTTATTTCAAGAAGCATTTTTTTTAAATAAATATTTTAGGCTATTTTGACACGTTTTGACACAAATTGGCAAACCATTTCATCGAAAAAGATGATAATTCTGAACGAGCATTCAAGTTTCAACGCGAGAATCAGAATTGCATTTCTGGATATCAGGAACTGTACAAAAAACTAGCAAAGCCACCGCAAAGATGCGAAGTTGAGATTAATTTTACTTGTGAAGAATCATTATCTTCAGGACATAGATCTGATATGCTGACTATCTCTTCTAGTGATGAAAGTGGTTTCGAACCAGTTCGCAAATTATGCCGAACACTCTCATATAGCGACGATAATTCTGAAGAAATGTGAAGAAAGATTAACTTTCATAAAAATTTTCTATATTTTTTTTGAAAAATTTTTCCGTATAAATTTAGAAGGAATATGTTAAGATTATATTTTTCTGAAATTTAATAAACTTGTCTTTGATTGTTAACGTTTTTATAAAATTATGAATAAACATTTCAGAAAGAAGTAAGATAGTAAGACTAATTATTATTCTGAAATTTAATAAACCCTTTTTATGCGATTTTCGGTATATTGTAACTCATAGATTTAGTTTTATGCGATTTTAAAAAGTTATGAAACGTATCCTTTATTTTGATACGTGTATCTAGTCCTTTTTTGTGTGATTTATTTTTATGCGTTTTCCTGTGGAACGTATCTACCGCATACAAAGAGAACCAAGTGTATGTCAGATGATAGATTGCTTTAAAAATAATAAATAAAACAAAAAATATTAAACATAAAAATTTCTTAAATTGATGACATTTGAAAAACTATTTTTTTAATTTAACTTGAATTTGAAAAAAAAATATTTGGTCATATTTTAGATGTTAATACACATAATTTTTATGTACATTTAAGTAAGTAAAAACAATATTAAAACTATGTTTGGATTGCTTGTTTGTTAAAATTCTATAAATTCACTAAAACTTAACTTACGCTGCAGATAAAGCAACTAACGATAAATAAAAGTAAAAAGATCAAACAAATATGGATACGTTTTATTGACATACTAATAAAAAAAATCTGCGTATTAATTACACCATAATCCTATTGTTTTACGCAAAACAAACAAAACTAATAGTTTAGTGTACTTATCGAATTCCAAGTATTCGCTTGAATTTATCAAATTACTCATACACAATCGACTCGATACCAAATGATTTATACGAATCACAAAACGCTGCGAACAAACTAATTCCAAGCTATTAATAATTATCGAATTTTGCATTGTTTTTTTTTCAGTCATATTGCAACAAAAAAAATGCGAAACAATGATAACAGATTGTGGAAGCCGATTCCACATGGAAATGTTTGCACATTTTGATTCCGCCAGGCGCGTTAATTAATCTCATCGAAGGAGAACGTGAATATTGAAGACGTCAATGAAGAAATGACGTTTGCGCTTCGAACAAAAGAAAAATGACTAAATGTCAGTTGCGTCGTCTGCGTGGAGATAAGAACAAAAGTGTCAAGTATCAAACGTAATAATATCTAGTGGTCTATAATATATTTTACGTTTGTATTTATTGCTTAGTTTATCGTCGAAACAATTATATTTTTTTATTTGTTGTTTAAAAAATGAAAGGAAACGTTAATATTTCTGACGTTCTAGAACTCGGAACATTTGAAAACATACCAAGCTGATAATGTTTGATCTATTATGTATTCATATGTTTAACGTTTTAGAATCTACGTAAACTGCAGTTTCATCCAATTGGAATAAAAAAAACTCAAGTATAGTCGATTCCGTATAATTTGGACACCGGTTAATCGGGACAGCAGCCTATTAGGGACAAATCCTGAACGGAAACATAATAAAACAAAAGGAAATGGAACTTCGGATAATTGGGCCAGCCGTTTAATCGGGATGTCCCGATGAGTGACTGTATTTCTTTTGCAAGTTTTTAAACTTAAAGTACATTTACTCCTCACTTTACGATCTATCTGCTTAACGAACACTCGTACTTACGACCAATCATCTTTCGGCCTGTAATATGAATAAATTTTAAGTTTGTTGGATAATTTTTATAATTTTATAATATTTCAACGTATCGATCGCCAATTTCCTTAACGCTTATCGTCCAATTAAAGTATAAGTAAAGTATATTTATTTCGTAGACTAGTGACGGCGAACCTATGACGCGCGTGTCAGTGGTGACACGACGAGACATTTTGAGTGACAAGTCAATAAGTCAAAATATATATAAAAAAAAACATTGGAAGTCTCGTCCCCTTCATCATCAGTGTATTCAATTGATACAGCAGCCAAGTTAAGCTAATTTTTTTCATAATTTTGATACACTTATCCCAAAAGGTTCGCTATCACTGTCATAGATAGATAATAATGGATACATTGTCTACCATTTTTCAAGAGTAATATATGGATTTGGCTCGTAATTTACTTTTTTTTTGCGTATGTGTATATTTCTTTCGATATCTCTCGCACTCGATCATCGTTATCAAAATGAAGTCGTTCTCTTACATACACACGCATATTTTTAGACTTTGATTAAAGACGCGAAATCTCGAACTTATGTTATTTATACTTACTTCTGTGACCGAAGATAATTTTCGGCAATTACCAAACCTCCAAATGTCCTTACGACATTTCTTCTTTTGTTTACACTGCGATAACAGCTGATGTCCTCTTTTAATTTATTTTTTTTTGCGATTGCACGTTTCAAACTTCTTACGTAATTCGAAATAGTACTCAATAATAGAACACGTCAATGATAGTGAGTAATTTTGATGAAACTAAGTACTGACAGCTTCATTTGTATTATCCATACGTATTTTCAATATTGATCTATTGAAATTATGTTTTTTGTCTCGTTTTACAAGTGTCATATTCGAAATAATCAGTTGATTGAAATCTTCGCGATCGACCAAAACTAAGTGAAAATGAATTCAAATATTATTAGAGCCTAAGTTTACAAGTAATTTGTGTGGATGCAAACCAGTTTTCATAATATCGAACTAAAAAATGATACTTATAATGTAAATAATCAATATAATACATTTGAAAATACAGCAATTTGTTCCGCAATATTTCGGACAGTTTGAAACTCGATTACAAGTAACAAAAAGAGACTTATTACATAGTAAGTAATTTGTCTATTTGTACTCCAATTTAGTTAATAAATTATAGCTAAGTCGTATACATAAAAAAAAATGAAGCATTTGTTCATTATGAGAATGGGTTGACGAGTTTCGAACATTCAAAATGTAACGAGCCAGTATATGTATATAAATTAATTTATATTATTCTCAAAGTGCCAATATTGTCGTTCTTCGAATAGATTGGCATACCAAAACAAATATCTGCTGGCTATAAATAATACATCACACGATTCGTGCTTGTATGTATTTCTTTTACAGTGATTGTCTTTTAATGTTTTCTATTTTGGTTTCTGGTTACGAGGCTCGTGTTTTCTGTTTTAATTAGCATAGAAAGGTGGATCAGAAAACAACTCACTCTCAAATATTATTATTTATCTTGGATGATGATTGGACAATGTGGAAAATTGTAAGAGTTGTTTTTTTTGCTTTAGTCCATAATATTATATGGTACAATTGTTATATAAATATAATTCGATATTATTGAGTTAATAATCATTAATGAATAGTTGGTACCGAGAAAGATTGTTATCCAACGATTTTAAGTCCCTTATCATCTTTGTGTAGATGTAATGTATATTTGGCAAATTGATGATAAGGTTCAGTATTTTTTACATGTGTATGTCTGTTGATGGGTGTGTGTACGTATGTATGTGTGTGTGTGATAAACTCCCCACCGCTCCCACTACAAACGTCCAATAGGAATGCGGCAAAATTCGGCATATATAGCAGCGTTCTAGTCAACATGAATCAATTCAGTCTACTTGGTTAGTACTGAATACATCGGTGTTGACTCGCGATTCAGTTGCAAACTGGCGATCGAAACCAATACAAAATTAATACCAAAATTTCACAGAACGAACTGCTTCGTCTCTGATTTCAAACAACACTACCTAAAATTCATTTTCGGCTTCTATTCTATGTACCACAAGAGTTACACTTAAAGTTTATACAAAAAAGAAACTTTCAAGCGTGATCCGTTTTTATTGAAAAAGTAAGGAAAACAGTAACAAGATGCCAGACATTATTGACAAGAAACCAGCACAGTAAGTATTTGATCTTTTTGTTGATCTTAAGAGATGTAATTAATCATTTTTCGAATAGATTTGATATTAATGTTTTTTTTTTATTTATTTAGATACGCCGGAGAAGTTGGACGTTTTGCCAAGAATCTCGCCCATCCGAATGTTGGACTCTTCAACCATTTGCGTGGAATTAGCGTAGTCCACGGAAATGTCCAAGACCTGTCACCGAAAGTGAGGTCTTACGTTGAGGCTAACATCGAGCTCTGCCAACCGGACAACATCCACATCTGCGATGGAAGCGACAACGAGAACAAACAGTTACTGAACTTGTTGCAGCAGCAGGGAACCATTGTACCTCTGCCAAAATACAAGAACTGGTGAGTGTTAAATGGTGTGCACCATTTGGAGCGATTTCTTATTTCGATCATTTGCATTTACAGTTGGTTGGCTAGAACTAATCCCGCGGACACAGCTAGGGTCGAATCAAAGACTTTCATCTGCACTGAACGCAGAGCTGACACCATTCCAACCACTAAAGATGGAATCAAGGGAACTTTGGGTAACTGGATGTCTCCCAGGGACATGGATGCCGCTGTTCAGGATCGTTTCAACGGTTGCATGAAGGGTCGCACTATGTATGTGATTCCGTACTCCATGGGTCCAGTTGGATCCCCACTGTCAAAGATCGGTATCGAACTTACCGATTCTGCTTACGTCGTTTCTTCGATGAGAGTGATGACCAGAATGGGCAAACCTGTTCTTGACAAATTGGCACAGAGCGACGAGTTCGTTAAGTGCCTTCACTCTGTGGGCACCCCAGCTAACGGCACCGTCGAGATGGCCAGCTGGCCCTGCGACCCTGAACGCACCATCATTCTCCACAAGCCACAGAACAACGAGATCGTATCCTACGGCAGTGGCTACGGAGGCAACTCGCTCTTGGGCAAGAAATGCTTTGCTCTTCGCATCGGTTCCACCATCGCCAAAAGAGAGGGATGGTTGGCCGAACACATGCTTATCCTTGGCATCACCAACCCCAAGGGAGAGAAGCGCTATATCGCCGCAGCATTCCCATCTGCTTGTGGCAAGACCAATTTGGCCATGTTGAACCCAACACTTCCAGGTTACCAAATCGAATGCGTCGGCGACGACATCGCCTGGATGCGCTTCGACGATAAGGGACAATTGCGCGCCATCAATCCCGAGAACGGCTTCTTCGGCGTCGCTCCTGGCACCTCCTACTCCAGCAATCCCAACGCCATGAAGACCATCTTTGAGAACACCATCTTCACCAACGTCGCCTCCACCAGCGACGGCGGCGTCTTCTGGGAAGGTATGGAAGATGAGGTTGACTTCAGCCAAATCAAGATTACCGACTGGTTGGGCAAACCGTGGGTCAAGGGAGAAAGCAAGACACCCGCCGCTCATCCCAACTCCAGATTCTGTTCACCAGCGGAACAATGTCCAATCATCGATCCAGCCTGGGAAGCCCCAGAAGGAGTACCAATCTCAGCCATCCTCTTCGGAGGTCGCAGACCTGCAGGAGTCCCGCTAATCTATGAAGCCAGGGATTGGCAGCACGGAGTCTTCGTCGGCAGCACCATGAGGAGCGAGGCTACCGCCGCCGCTGAACACAAGGGCAAAGTCATCATGCACGATCCCTTTGCTATGCGTCCCTTCTTCGGTTACAACTTTGGACACTACCTGGACCATTGGCTCAGCATGAAGAACCGCTCTACCAACTTGCCAAAGATCTTCCACGTGAACTGGTTCAGGAAAGACGTTGACGGCAAATTCATCTGGCCCGGTTTCGGCGAGAACTCCAGAGTTCTCGACTGGGTCCTCAGGAGAATCGAGAACGAGGATTGCGCCACCGAAACTGCTATCGGTTTGATTCCTAAGGATGATGCCTTGAACATGCAAGGTTTGAAGGAGGAGATCAACATGAAGGAACTTTTCCACCTACCCAAGGACTTCTGGATGGAGGAATGCTTTGCCATCGAGAAATACTTCAAGGAGCAAATCGGCATGGATTTACCGCAAGCCATCGATGAAGAATTGAAGGGTCTCAAGAAACGTGTAAATAATATGTAGATTATCCGTTTCTCTTCTACATATTTGTATATATTTCATATCTATATTACGTTATGCAACCAAATGAACAAGCGCTAATAATATTTTGATCCTTAAAGTTTTCCATATTTATAACGCTAAACAGTATAAATTTATTTAAGTTATATGTGATATATGTGTATAGTTCTATTTTAATAATAAATTCATTTAAATATAATTATTATTGCAACTTTTTCCTTTCCTTCTGTATTTGTATAGTTTCAAAACTCAAATTTTAATAACATTTCATTAATTATCATAAATATTTATAAACGGACAAAAAGTTTTATAAAAGTAAGTGTAAACCACTGATATTATTCTGATATTTCCTTAAACCATATAAGTAGTTTCATATAATTTACCTATATACTATTTTTTAGGTGCTTTATCAATTATTAGAAGTTACTTTCAGTGTACTCACACCATCCAAATTAACACTTTATATTAAAAAAAAAGTAGAGACAATATATTTCCTATTTGTTTAACTTTATACAAAATTAAAAACTATAAAAAAACAAAACTTAAAAACCGACAAACCCTAACCAAAACTATACTACTCATGTCATGTCATGTCATGAGTATCTGGGGACCAAAGACGCTGTGTAGTGGCGTGCCCTCAAACTTTGAAAGTTGAGTATTTTCCAAGTTGTAGAAAGATGATGTACGAATCAGAATCTCTGTGATTTTTAAAGGAATGTTGGAGAGATCGCGGAATGGTTATTATTAGCTTTTACTGAGAGTAATATGAGTTATATTCTAAATCAGTGGTTTCCAAACTTGATGTTACTACGCCTCCCTCAAAAGTATGTAATCATTTGGCACCTCCCCACAACCCTCCATTTCATAAAAGGAACGCGTATTACAGCAATATCGATAAGAGCACAGGAATGTATCTATACATGCTGGATTCCCCAAACATTCAGCTTTCATATGCATATATTGGATTTTTTTTTTTTTTAAGTTTAAGAGATTTATATCAATTTATTTATTGACATAAATCTCTCCGGCCCTATTTCTACCCCTTTTCGGGTTTAACAGCCACCACAAATTGTTGTTGATTTTCGGAATTGAACCAACGACTTTCGTATCAGATTTTTGTGATACAGGCGACCATAGCCACACGGCTACGGCCGCCCCATATATTGGATTCATTCTATAGTTTTCGAGTAAATATTATGTAAGTGATCCCTAATACGGCCCTGACCATCTGAAAATTTGGTTGCCTATATATTGAGCCATCAGCTATACAGTTTCACATGCAGATGGCAGGTACCCTGTTCAAAATATAAATAGTATTTTTTATCTAATTATAACCTATAATATAGCAACTTTCTTCTTTTTTTAATAATCTGGGCCGAAATGGTTAAAAATAAAGGGAACTTAGTCAGTGTAGGGGCCTGGAGCAAAAAGAAAATGTTCTCTGTGTCCTCATTGAAGAAACTACTATTTGATCCAAACTACATAACTCCAGTATGTTTGTTGTTATTTGTTGGAGAAATTTTCCTCAATTTGTATATTGTTGGCAATGTAAAATACACAGAAATCGACTGGATAGCTTACATGCAGGAAGTTGAAGGATTCCTCAATGGTACTTTGGATTATGCAGAGTTAAAAGGTACAAAATAATATCGGTTTCATTTGTGGATGTGAAAAATTGAAGTTTGATTGTTTTAGGTGATACTGGACCATGTGTGTATCCAGCTGGATTCCTCTATCTGTACTCCATATTATATTACTTAACTTCTCAGGGCACAAACATAAGACTGGCACAATATATTTTCATGGGACTCTATTTGGCTCAAACATATCTCACTTATGATATTTATAGGAAGACTTGCAAAGTACCTGGTTACGCATTAATTTTAAGTGCGGCTACTTCATACCGCATCCACTCGATTTACGTATTGAGACTATTCAATGATCCATTTGCAGTTTTCTTCTTTTATCTCTCATTGCATTTTCTATTGGATGGAAAATGGAAGACTGCCAGTGTCATATTCTCGATTGCTGTGTCCATTAAGATGAATATACTTCTTTATGCACCGGCATTGTTTATAGCGTACATAACAAATCTCTCACATCTGAACACATTCATAAACTTGGCTATTTGTGGTGTGATTCAGTTAATTCTTGGTGCTCCGTTCTTATATACCAATCCATATTCCTATCTAAAGGCTAGCTTTGACTTGGGACGCGTTTTCGAGCACAAATGGACCGTGAATTACAGATTTTTAGACGTCGAAATCTTCGAAAACAAAGTTTTCCATTTAAGTCTCTTGGCAGTGCACCTGGTGCTTTTGGGTATATTCGCAAAGCCGATTTGGAGATTCATGCGATCATACGCGAATCTGAGGGGACTGATCGTGCAAATGAGAAATCAAACGCTGAAGAGCAGCAAGAAAGAAAAGGAAAAATTGGAGAAGGAAGATGAGCTGAGCGCAGATCAGCAACAGTTTCTGGATAATCTGGAAAGGCAATTCAAACACAGGGCCGGTGCTGTCAGCAAAAAGCAGCTGAAAAGCGAGACGGAAGAGAAAGTTACCATCAATTTCTACAAGATAAGTCAGCTGATGATTCTACCCTTCTTCGTAACGAATTTCATCGGCATTGTCTGCGCCCGCTCTTTGCACTACCAGTTCTACAGCTGGTACTTCCATTCGCTCCTCTACTTGGCCTTCTCAACCAAATACAGTAAACCGTTCACGTTCCTTCTACTCGCTCTCATAGAATACAGTTGGAACACCTATCCAAGCACGAACGCTTCCAGTTCTATACTTCACATCTGCCACGTGTCGATTCTTTTGGGTGTCTACAGTACGATGACAGCATAATTATTTTGATTTTCGTTTTTTTTTATAACATAAAAATATTTATTTCTTAATTTACAACTTCTGAAGTAACGAAAACACTCCCGTTCCGGAATTGACCTTCGATCCAACCATAATGCGACCGGACGGCGCAGCCAAGTCGTCCGTTTTACCTAAAATTTGAAGAAAAAAATATTTTTATGACTGTCACCGCATTTTCTTTTTGTTATTGTTTCATTATTATATTTAAAAATAAAAAAAAAACAAAGATTTTTAAAACAATTGATTACGTACCTTTAATCACTGCATCCTTGAGGAAATGTAACGCCGACTCGTAAGAAATTTGATGAGTGATACTCGTATTGTAACGTTGGGAAACTCTCGACATGGATCTTAATTTTCCTGTGTGCGTCATGTAGTCGGCAACAAGTGAAAGATGTCTTGGATCGACTGTGATTCCGTAAACACCAAACACGTCTTTGACCTCCTTGACCAAAGTCCTTCCAGCAGCTTCGATGCCGTAGATTCTTGAAGACGCGACTATGTCGTTGATATATACCTTGTTCAAATCCAGCAACCGGAAGTGCTGGTATATGGAGCCCATGTTGAGACCTTCCGTTCGCAGCATAAGACGTCCCTTTTCCTCAAAAATCATCGCTCTCTTTATGCCCTTCGTCTGATTCAATACGCCCTTCTGGACTGCTTCCCTTAACATGCTCTTCAGGTCGATACGCTTCGCGTAAATTGGCAACATTATTTCGATCTGATACCATCGATTGTCTTTATCTACGTTGCAGTTGGATGCCTTCTCGTTGCCACCTTTCTGTTTGCTTTCGCTTTCCTCGTCCGATTCATCGTCGGAAAGAGGATCGATGTTTTCAACATCTTCCTCATCCTCGTTCATTTCCTCCTCATTCTCGTCATCTTCTTTCGTGTGCTTGGCACTCTGCTTAGCATCTTCCTTGTCCATTTCCTCGTCACTTTCATCGCTGCTATCTTGATTATTCCCTCCGGGACCATCGTCATCTAGACCCACGTCCACATCGATTTCTTCGTCGTCGTCGTCGATCTTCTTTTTCGTTCGCTTCTCTTTTCCATCCTCAGATTCGTCCACAGACAACTTGTGATGCTTAATGGCTAACTTTATGTGCCTCTTGATGACATTATTCAAATGCAACAGGAATTTCTTTTGCATGTACTTGATAATTTTCTTTGGCTTCAGATAATATTTGTCCTTGTACAGTTCGTACGGCATGAAATGGAATTTGAAAACCGTCTTCAGCTGTCTTACAGTTCCGTAGACCAACTTCTGCTGGACGTCGATTTTCTCCAGAACGTCGACAAGTCGTACGGGCGTCAATTGCTTGCACAGCTTTTTCGATTCCTGCTCTAAATTCTCGATACCTTCAAGGAAAGGTACTTCCATACTGGGTTGTCCGGTACTGCAGTACATGAAGATTTCTCTCAACCTTGGAATACCCAACGTGACGTTCATGTCACCTCTACCAGCGAAGTGGAAAGTGTTCAGTGTCATTTGGGTGGAAGGTTCACCGATAGATTGAGCGGCCAACACCCCAATCGAATCGCCTGGACACGCCAGTGATCGCATCGCCTTCAACCAGAAAGTATCTTGCAATTTTTTCTTTATTTTCTTATCTTTATTCTTTAAGTATCCCTCGAATAGATCGTCCACGCGTTCATTCACAGCTCCGAAATGAACATCCGGTTGGTAGCGAGACGCGACCGGATCGACGATCACTTTTTTGACCTCTCCGCTCTTGTACAATTTCACTTGGTTTCTCTGCTCCTCAACGCCCGCGTCCAAATCCTCTTTCATCGTCTTCAGTAAATCTTTGTTCCACATGGTTTTGAAATTGTCAGCCAAAAACGGAATCTGCTTTTCGTTCAAAAATTGCACCTTCGATATGTCCATTCCGTCTTCGCCGTAATTGAACTGTATGACGCTTCCATCGGAATCCCTTACGGTTAAATCGTAGGCGATGGTCAGTCCTTCCAAACTCTTGATCAAACACCTCTGCAAGTAACCACTTCGACTGGTTTTAACTGCTGTATCGATTAAACCTTCGCGACCCGCCATACAATGGAAAAAGAATTCCTGTGGTTGAATGCCTGTCATGAATCTACCATCAATAAAACCACCTGCTCTTGGCGCAAATTCGGTGACGGGAAAACTAGGCAATGATCGACCTGATATCATAATCGGTGGTCGTTTACCTTCCAACTCAATTTGGCCTAACAAACAAGAAATCTGCATAGTATTTACAGTGGTACCTTTCGCACCAGATTGAACCATCAATTGCAAATTATTCGTCGGGAACTTGTACACCAAACCAGACGGTAAGCAAACCCTATAATTAAACAGAAACTCATTATTATCAAGATATAGAATATAATTATAAATAAAACTTACTTGTTTATATCATTGGTGTACGAATCTAAAGTCGTTTTATATTGCCTATCAATAATCGATACAATCTTTGGATTTGATTTTTTTTGCTCCTCGATGATTTCCACGATTTCTTCTGTTTTCAAGTCTTCGGATAAACTGAGAGCACTTGTCACAATATTTTGGCCTAATTTCCTACTTTTCTTGATAATCTTAGACCTGATTTTATCAGCTTCGCTCAATACCACAATATCCCTCACACCCAGTGTGAAACCTTCGCTTTGTAAAAACACGGTAAATATACGAGACAAAGACGATAACAATTTAATAGCGTAATCGCCTCCATAGAGCTGCAACAAATACAATCATCTTAGATAATTTATTTGAAATCAATTTAAATTATATATCAAACCTCGTATATGCAATGCACCAAACCGTAAGCCGATGATCCGTAATGACTTTTATCCAAGATTCCAGCAATCAATTCACCATTTCTAATTATAACTTCGGCCTCGCTCATTTCCATCTCATCGTCGAACAACTTTTTCCCGCCCTGCAGATTCCACGCGTTTGCTGGAATTTTACTTTTACCAGTCAATGTGATGGACGCAACATTCTTAGGTATGGTATTTAATATTACGGTCGAGAGGATCTGCTTTCCAGACCAAAGAACCTGCGGCTTGAGAATAGCAGGCGGAAGAAGTTTAATTTTTGCAATTCGATGCCCGGACAAAGCCTCGTACACTAATTGCTGATAGTCTAGCCTATGAAAGAGTAATTTTTTAATCAATACAAATCTAAAGTAACAATAAAAAACTTACTTCGAAAAAAATCTTCCTCGAATAGTCATTTTCACGCCGCTAATAACGTGATCCTGAATCAAACCGCTCAACGGCGTGCCGTCTTTTGGTACCAAGTAATTACTCGAAACATTACCTAATTATAAATATTTTGTTAATATTTTTTTCGGATTTTACCACTTTTAGAACTATTTAGACTTACTTAAGAATTTACATTCAGTTTGCGAGATGGTATCTTGGGGAAAATGGGCGTTAATTTCGTCACCGTCGAAATCGGCATTGTATGCTTTGCAATTAGCATAATGCAACCTAAAGGTTTTCTCCCTTTTCAAAATCCTCGCGTAATGGGTCATCATACTGGGCTTGTGAAGTGTAGGTTGACGATTCATCAATAACATATCTCCATTCTTGAGATGACGTAGCACAGCTTTCACGGAACCGCGTCGCTCACAAGGGGTTAGCAAACATTTTGCTAAACTTTCTCTATCTTTTTTAGCAGCTGGAACTAGAACACGTCCAGTTTTTTCAAATACCACGTACATGGCCCTACAAAGATATATTAATTAAATAAAGTACAAAGTAGTTTAATATTTTGGTCAATACCCTGGATGAACATCAACTCCGTTTAGGATCAACTGGCGAACTTCTTCGACATTGTGCGGTCCAACTGGCATGTTGAAAGTTAACTTTTTAGCGATATCTTCTGGTACCCCAATCTCGTCAATATTCAAATTAGGATCAGGCGTAATGACCGAACGTGCAGCGTAATTGACACGCTTTCCCATCATGTTCTTCCTAAGTAATCCCGCCTTCTTCTCAAGAACTGCCTTTAAACTGGTGTCGTTGTTGTTCAAAAGCATATTCACTGCATTCTGCAATTCATCCCACGCCTTTATACATTCCACTGCCAAATTCTCCTTTTTATACGTAGAAATTAAGTTCATAAGATGTTTCGGCAATTCGCTTATATCAGTTTTCTTTGCTTTCATGAAAGAGTACAAAGTCATGCAACTTTTCATAATCTTAATGTACGAATCGTTTTTTCTGTGCTCAGAAACCGAGTCACCAGTTCTCATTGGTGGTCTAGCGTTTGATGGAATAACCGGAATTACTCTGCAGAAGAAAACGTCCAATGGACACGCCAATTTGACTTCTTTCAAAATGGGAATCATCAGCATAAGTACTTCACTATTACTATCCCATACCTTATGCATTATATTCATGATCTCAACAGTGTTCAAGTGCACAACTGACTTCATAAAATCTTTCAAAATATATCTATATTTTACTTTCTCTATAGACATTAACTTCTTGGAGCAATTAATGCATTTCACTGTTAAAACTCTATTAAACACTTGTGAAATGACACTTGATTTCACATATTCCAGATTGGCATTGCAAGGAACATTTCCATGGGCTAATATTTCATCTGCTTGTATTTCTAGGGTACTCAGTGTCTCCACCAGCTCTGGTGTCATATCTTTCAGACCTTTCCATCTATATATATTATCTGATAACTCTGCTGTTTCATTAATCATTCCAGCATTGATCATTTTTTGCACAACTCGGATAAGTTCAATAACAGGAGCTAAAATATTAACAATTATGATAATCAAGTATTAACAAGTTACACAATATCAAACCTCTTATCTGCAAATGGTAACAATCAAAGCAAATTAGCTTTAAAACATGATGCAAAACGTCAGACCATATTGGACTTATTACAGGCAATGGTAAACGAATATGACCAAAATGTCCTGGACAGTTGAACACATTCTTACATGTCAGACACGGATTTTTATCAAAAGATCCTGAAAAATGAATTAATTGTAAATGTAATTAAACTTAGTACATTTTATACTGCATTACCTAAACGTAAATCATATAAACCCCCGTAACGGGGGACCCCCATGGGGTCATAAGCTGATGGAACTGTGATTTCCAAAACACTCAACTTCAGAACATCTTCGTCAGTGTATGCGGAAAATTTTAATTTGTTGGGAACCAAATTAAAAAACTTTTCAAACTTCATTTTCACAACATTAACCTATCAAAAATAAACAGAGCAATCTTCTAAAAACTTAACCATGTGCCTACTGACGTACAGTGTTGACAATGTGAAAAATAAACATTTTAAAAAGAAAGATAATATTTAAAAGTAAACATTATTAATGAGTTCAATTATAAACAAATATTACCAGCATTATTATAAATATAAGTAATCGTAAATCTAATGCAATTAGTGGTTTACTTTGCAATCAACTTTAAATCTAGGGAAATTTAATCAAGCTGTAGTTGGTAGAATTGAAATATCTTAATGCAGCAAGTTTCACCCTATTCGCCTTTCTTTTACATGGCTGCCATTGAGCTGTAAGCACGTGTACACTGAACTAATTTTTCGTTTGCTGTGGTTAAAAATACGCTATTAAAGGTAAATATTGCAACAAATAAAACGTTTTTATTAATGGATTGTAAAAATTCAAAGATAACATTTTTTTTTATACCGAAAAAAGCATATTTTCTTATATTGCAACATGTCATAACATGTCTCAACATGTATATAACGTACCGCGTTAACCGCCTAACCAATTTTAATATAAATTTGTTTACGTTGTCTTTGCATTAGTACATAGTTCTGATGTTTTTCGTTTGTTTTTAATGTAATTTTGTTATTGTTTTAGATGCCTCTTGCTGTTGATTTACTTCACCCGACTGCCGAGAGCCAACGCCGCGCTCACAAGAAGAAGCGTTTGGTGCAACACCCCAACAGTTTCTTCATGGATGTAAAGTGTCCCGGATGCTATGCCATCTCAACAATCTTTTCCCATGCCCAATCCGCTGTACCATGCAAAGGGTGCTCGACCATCCTGTGCACTTCCACTGGTGGTAAGGCACGTCTGACCGAAGGATGCAGTTTCAGGCGCAAGCAACATTAAGAAACCAATGTTTGTTTCTTTTTTTTGTATAATTTAATAAATAAATTAAATCATATTCTGTTTTCTTTTATGAATAAAAGAAAGATAAACAAAATAAAGAGCATGTGAGAGTAACTGTTTATTCATTATTATAATTATTACACTTGGTTAAACGAGAATTAAATTACATTATTTTTGTGTGGGAATGTTAACGTACTTAAGCGTTTCTCATGATCATATCGTAAGCTTGGAAAATTGAAGCAGACACTTCAGTGGATTTAGTTTTCAAGCTGAGTGTAGCATGCTGAACACCAGGCTGCAGTTTTAGTTCAAGTAGAACCCAGATGTTGTTTGTAAGTTTCAAAGACTGATAGAGCATGTCTTGTCCTTCCACATTTCGCTTGGCAATCGTGAAGATGTTATTGTGTGTCATCTTGGCGGCAATTGTGTCTGCGGTGCCTCTAACATCGTTCAACGTATATTGGATCTCGTTGGCGGCTGGAATGTCTTTCCAGGTGGTCAAGAAGAATCTTTTGTCCAATTGGCCGTCATCGGCGAAGAGAATTTGGATGGGTACCGTGCAAGCGTAGTAAAACACGTCCACGTTGTTCTTAACGGCAACTTGAAGATTCATCAATGGATCCATTCTTTGAACAGGTCCGGTAGTGTTCAGAGCCAGTCCTGTTTCCAAGCTTTGCGACGGTTGCAAAGTACCAATATTTAAAGGAGAAGCCGGTGCAATTCCGAAACTGTTCTTGTTGAATTGTATCGCGAATCCGTTCATTGCCTGCATGGCTTTATTAGTGAAAGTCAAGTCCATGCTAATCTGGCCATTTCGTCTAGAATAAGTACCCATGATTTCCAGACCTTTGCCCTTTTCGGCCGGCAGCCAGCATGTCTTGGGAGGTGTGTAAAGAGTAGGACTGGAGCTGATACCGAAAATATCTCCCAACAATCCAGTGTTGCTGCTTGCCGGTGGAGGCGCGACATCCGGTGCTCCACCTCCAAGCAATATGTCCAAACCACCTCCCAACAAATCGATGTTACTGGAAGTGGGCGCAGCTTGAGCAGGAGGAGCGGCAACTGAACTACCAATATCCATGGATAGAAGATCTCCAATCAGAGAGTCCTGGCTTGGAATAACTGTCGCCTCGTTAGCAGTAGTCGAAGTAGTAGCCGTAGCAGTTTCTTCGGTCGATCCTTGTCTGATCGGCAACGTCTTCCTAATACCAGCACTACGACCTTCGACGAACGCAGTTGGTGGCTTGTGGTAAACACTGGCCAAAGAAGAGATGTGGCAAATCAGTTCATCCAAAAGCGTTGGTTCCAACAAATCGGTTTCTTCCGAAATCAACGGTTTATCGGCCAGTACCACTTCTTTGGCGGCAGCTGGATCAGTACTTAACAACCTAAACAAAACAAACAAAATATATAAATAAGGGCTACGAAAAATAAATCAAATAATTACCTCCAATAAATGAAGCCACGATCGCGAAGATCGGGGTTATCAGAATCTTGAGTGGCCAAGCTCAGAACGTGCTGCACCAAAGCCTGGGTGTGGGCAGGTCTCTTCAAGAATAATTTAACAACTGCAGTGAGCAACTGAAGTTGAACCTGGGCATTTTCATCGGCGAATCCTTCGAGGAAGCTGTCCAGCAATTCATCAGCGTTATCGATACGTTCCGCGTATTCCCCGATAATCCAAACCATACTAGCCCTCGCCTCGGGCTCATCCAAAGTATCTAAATTCTCGCAAAGGGTGCTGATAATGCTCTCGTACTTATTGGGATATTTCCTTAAAAACACACAAAGCTTGAAATAGCCTTTCTTTAGCTACAATATCCAAGCAAATATCGTAGCGCAGGTTCATGCAGATACCAAACGCACTCGAAAACATATAAACACCATACGACTCTCTGCAAATATCTACCATCGAATCGGAACCCTTGAAAACTTTCAACGGGGAATCCGCATCGCTTAAGATGTTCATATTTTGATTAAACATTCGGTCATGTACCTCTCGAGACAAATACTTTAATTTCTGCGAACGCGATTTCACGAATTCCAAACTCGAAAGAATACTCTGGACGAGAAACGCGGAGAGCGAAGCGGAATAAACGAAACTTAAACTGTGTATGTACTGGTTCTCGACGGCTACAGCTTCACCCACGCAGAAACCACCCAACGTACCGAAAGCATATTCAAGACTACCGCAGACCAGATCCACGTTTCCAGCAAGATTCAAACCGTAGTAGTCTAAAACTCCGACGCCGTTCGGACCCAAAACTCCAAACGAAAAACTCTCATCGAGGATTATCCGAAATTTAAACCGCTTCGCAACTTCAATCAACTGCGGCAGCTTACAAATTCTTCCCGTATTCTCTTGAATCCCTTCCAATATCAAGTATTTAGAGGTGAAAGAATCAAGTTGGTCTTGCAAAGATTCCAACAGCACGCGCAAATCCTCTTCATCGTTTGTGTTGTAATAATATAGGCGACATCGTTTACATTTCAACGAATCCATAACCGATTGGTTTATGTTTTTATCAACAACGGCTATACCATCCGGCATTAAATACATACCGACAACACTACCAACCGTTAATGAGCCGCAAGAGTATACCAAACCCAACTCGGTGCTGTACATATCAGCTAGCTTCTTTTCTAAAACTAAATGTAAATCCGTCGAACCTAAACCAACATTCTTGTTTCAAAATCAAATGCATTTTATATTATCGATAATATACCGAAGAAGCTTCTCGGTCCACAAGTACCAACGCCATATTTTCGAATCGTATCAATTGCAGCTTGTTTTACCGATTTCTCTCTGGACATATTTAAATAATCCCTACGCACTAAATCCACGCAACTGCTGTCCACAAGTTTCTTATCACCTACAGCAGATGTCAGAGAATCGTCCTCGGGATATAGCGGTTCCGGCTTGTAATCTTTCAATAGCTTTTCATAATTGTAAGTCCTAACGTTTTCCGGGTAAAACATGTTTATCAATTTGTAAATGATAAACGCGCAAATCGCGGTTGAAACGAACGCGAACATTTCTCGAAATAAACATTTGTTTGGTTGCTATGGATATATAGAAATAAAAGAGATCTACCTGAATATATCCTTGATGACAACGATGGCTTCTTGTACAACGTAGTTTACCTTCGTTTGAATCAAATCGAGCAAAGTTGACACGCAACGCTCTGCGGAAGGTTCAACTTTGATAGCGCATCTTCCAATAGCGCGCACCGCTTTTCTGACAAAATCAACATCGACTTCTGTAGCGTATTCCTTCAGTTCGCTTAAAACCTGAGCAATATTCGATTGCGAAGCCAAACGAATCATGATGTCCAATTTCTCTAGTTTAACGTAGATGGGATCGTTGTATTTCACAAAGAACACCTTCATTTCATGTTTGAGAATGTCGGGTCTCTTCTGCACAATCAGATTGATGTTGCGCAATGCTACGTATTGGACCTCGGGCTCCGAAGACAACAGAGTCACCAACGGAGGAGCCAATTTCTTGCTTAAAGTCCCGCAAAACTCGGTGTCGCCAGCCAAGATTTCCATCATTTTCATTAAAACCTAAATACAACGCATTAAGTTAACGATTTTATTAGTGCCATATTCATAATCATCTCACCTTAACAGCTGAAAGCACAACTGCAGCATTGGCATGAGCTAATCGCGGTGTGATTCTCTCGCAAATGCTCTGAGCTTCACGTTCGTCCTTAGGACTGTAATTTGAAAGGGAATCAAGGATGAAAACTTGACCCCATTCAGTACATTCATTTAAAGCAGTCAGCAATTTATTGATTGTATTGGTATTCAATTCTAAAAAGAAAAAATAATTTCACAATAACAAAAAAAATCTCATCAAATCATAAAACATACCAACTAATGGAGCTCCAGTTGGACTGTTCTCATTGATCTCAGACAAAGCAGCAACTGCATTGGCAACAACCATAGGATTTGAATCACTCAACAAATCTTTCAGTTGTTCCAAGAAACCTTGGTCCTCAACAAGACCAGAAGAAATATCATACAATTTAGCCACACACACAGCTGCAGTTTTTCTCACATAAGGATCTTCATCCTTCAAGCATTTCCTTAATGGTTCACACAAATATTCAGTGATTTTATCCACACGAATACAACCCATTGTGCGTACTGCCAAAGCTCTGATCAATGGATTTGGATCCTCACAATCCTTGACAAATGTATTCACTGCCATTATGGCCATATCCGGCTGAGATTTTGCATAGTTCATCAAATATAGGTAAACCAGTTTCTTCAACTCCAAGTTATCAGTTTGCATGCAGTTGACAACATCAGGAAACAAAGCAGAGACATCTTTACCAACAGTCATAGAGGCTATGACCTGCAATTAGGAAAAAAACATTGATGAAGGGAGGATGTGATTGTTGAAATTGATTTCCAGTTACCTTCTTAACTGCCTCCTTCTTCTTTTCCTTTTTATCACTGTTGAGCTCGGATTTGAGTTCAAAAATCTCACCCTTTTTGGTGGTAGTAAAATATTTAGAGTCAGTCATCTTGGTCTGACTAAAAAATTTATTTGATTGCAATGCAATATTATCAATAAACAGAGACACCGACCAACACCGACACTGATAGACACACTTGACAACTCCCCAATGGATGTCATACGTCAAATTACGTAGACAATGCACGCATGTGCAATTGGTTGCCATTATTGGATTCAAATTGGAATTCCAACCGAAATTAAAGTTAGTTCTGGTTAGTTCGCATCTATCCAAATTGGATCAAATCCAATTTGAAATTAAAATAATGTTTACATTTACAATATATCTTTATTATAATATTCATAACATTTTTTTGTAACTAGGTTAAAACAATATATTTTTTCTATGGAAAGTATAAGCAAATAAATTTACATGTTCTATGCAGGAAATTTTCTAAATAATAATCGCAAGTATACCACTGCCTGCACCAGCCAATTGAATTTAAGATAATAATTATTGAAAGCTGCAGTCTTCAAACATTTCACTATAACAAAGTATAACTGGCTGCATAAATTATTTAATACATGATTGGTAACTTTAAATACTGTTCGAATTTTATTGTAATATTGATTTGACATAAATTCTCATATAATCACAACGTTCTTATATAAACATTATTACATCATCATAATAAAATCTAAATACATGTTGCCGGTGAAATAAATCAAGTACTTTCATTATTAAGTCTCCGTGTAAATATAAAACTAAATATAAAAAATATATACCCAATATATATATATTATAAACAATAGATTTGTTTTTTTTGGAATGTACTCATTGAGAACAAGAATTGTGTTAAACGTGGAATTATCCTAATATCACATTTATGCTATGGCTGTTAAGACATAAATGCATAATAACTTTGCGCCCTGAATTGTTATTTATCATTTAAATACTACAAGATTGTACACATAATATTGTCGGAACGAAACAAGAGAAAAATATTTTTGAAATGTAATAAAAATTAAGTAACAAATTGCTAAGTGGCAACCGAGTTTGTCGGTGTTGTAACTACAACTGGAACCTGAGTATCATTTTGTTTTAGCATAGCCTCCTGTTCGGTTGTGCTACTGGGAGGCTCGCATTCGTTCCACGATTGAATCTGCAATTAATGATATTCAGTTATTTTCTGTTTATTCTCTTTTGATTTTAGTTTACCTTATCCGTGCCGAAGATTTGATAGACTATGTAGGTGGAAATTGCAACAAAAGAAGTCACATTGAAGACGTTCCTCCATGCGGTTAGAGTGTGTCCGCCTTTGGTCATGTATCCTGCAGCTAACGGACTTAAGAAACTGGCCGACATGTGAATGGTTTGGGCAAAGGCCAGGACTGGTCCAGCGAAGTTCGGGGCGATGTCGACGACGTTGGCCATCGCTCCAGCATAAGCTGCCGTTATCATGGTTACAGCAATGAACCAAACGACGAGAATGACATTAATATCACAGCCCAAGTAACTAATGCTAAGTACTAAGACACCCGGCAGCACCTGGGACAAAGCCGTAAACAGTTTCCTCACATTGATGAGGGACATCCAGTTTTTGGTCACCAATTTATCTGCGATGTAGCAGAACAGAACCGAGGCCAAATAACTGCATATGAAAGGAGCACCAGACAGCAATCCATTTTTCTCGATGCTGAATCCGAGAATCGTTTTCATATACTGCGGTCCAGGTATAATGAAGGTGTAATGCACCCAGATCCTTCCGAACGTCGTGATTCCTATGGCCCAGGCGGGCTTCGACGTTAGAATGCTCGTCCACGGTACCTTTTGCTTTCTCGAAGACTCATACGTGTTCACCGTATTTTCTTTGATGTATTTCTGTTCGCTCAGCGAAATCCTCGGATGCGTTTCCGGACTATCGAACGCCAATAAATACCAAATCACGCACCAAACAACTCCGATTGATCCAGTCGTATAGAAAACAGATCTCCAACCAAAATTGGCAATTAGAAATCCGCACAGCGGATAAGTCAAACCGATTCCAATGCTAAACCCTTGGAAACTCGACATAAATCTACTTCTTTCAGGTACTGGAATCCAATGTCCAACCAATGCGTACATAGCAGGCCATGTCAAACCCTATGATAATAATTCTAATTAGTATGAGAGTAAACGCATTTTTAAAAGTAGACTTGTTTAAAAAAAAATTCTAAAAGATTTCACCATTCATTTCATGATCACAATAAATGATATAATTAAATGACATCGAAAAAATGTGACGCAGTTTTATGTAACAAATAAACAATTCTAAGAAATGAGGTCAATATTATGTGTTATTTGCAAAGCTAATTTTTGTTTTTTTTCTATATACATTCCATACATATAGATGGGTTTTTCTAAATGAATGGCAACCTTGAATTTAAATAACTTTAATTAAAAGTACTTACTGATGCAAAGCCTTGAACACTGCGCAGTATAATTACAATACTGTAGTGCACTTCACTAGCCCATGGTATACATAGGCTACACATGGCTGTGGCTAATTGGGCATAGCCGAATACACGTTTTGTACCCAATTTCTGTGTGGCTAGACCACCAACAACTTGAGAGACTATGTAGGCCCAATAAAATGATGCCAAAACATAGCTCTGCACTTCTTTGGACCATTGCAGAGTTCCATGAATGTCCTTAAAATACTTATTATATAGAATTGTCAAGCAGATGTTAATGTTTTGCTTACATTTTTAATAGTAACACCTTCATTTTGCTGTTGCAATTGCACATCATAGCAGTACTGATCGGTCTGATTCAAATATTTGACCTCTGGTTCTTCAACCATGGCCACGATAGCCATGTTGATGTCAGTACGCATCATGAATGAAACTAGAAATCCTGACCATGATAGCATGTACAGCACTAACCTGGCAGGCACTTGCCCAAATATCCGATAAACTAAACATTTGCTCTGGTCAGGCTTTGGATAACTTAAATCACTTTTGTAGACGGGTTCTTCCATCTTCCGTCCGTGCGTTGCTCTTCTCTCAATAATTTAATACTTTTTCATAAAATTAATCACTACAAATTAAAAGCACTCAAAAAAAATGATGCGGGCACGAAAATAAGAATTTAGAAAACACTTGTCTTAATCTAATCTTGCCATGCATCGCTTGCGCTCATCCAGCAATTGTCGGCCGCAACACAATGGATCTGCGCTTAGTTTCTCAGACTTTTCAATTAGTTATAATTAATGAATTAATATATACGTTCGGCGATTCGCAAACGACTAATCACGATGGCCTCAATTGCTGTAATCGTGAATAGCGAATAATTACCATGTTATGAAATCATGACACATGAAAAATGTATTGAGCGAGCAAAAAAAAAACACGCGCGCATAACCGTGACCCTATACAATCAATTCAGCAATGATTTGCGAATGGTGAAAAAAAATATGTATAGATTTCAACGATGCGTAACAGGATTAAATTGCCAAAGCAAAATAATAAAATAATATGTGATTTGTTATTGTTGTTCGATTTTATTTTGTTGCTTTGCTTTACCTTATATCGATTCAAACTACACACATCTAACTTATTCAAACGGAAAATAAAATAATCACGAACAAATCAATAATTTATTAACTTCTTGTTATGCGCGCGCGAAACGACGGGTGGCCCACTTAGATCCGCCATATTAAATACGAGCACGCCATCACAGCTGATGATGCACAATGCTGACACGCTGATTTAGAAATAAATCTCATTGTTCTTCCTCGTCCTCAAAGTCTTTCATTTTCACATCCTGGTCTTCTCCGAATTGAAGAACATTATCTATGGTTAATAGGATATTCGCGACATTTTCCTGATCTTTCAAATTTAGCGGCAGAAAGCGAACCAGCGAGTAATCTTCAATTAACCGGCCTATCGATTCTGTCAGCTTCTGGTGCTTGGCGTTGAAGCTGGTGCTTTGTATGTCCCCCAAGATGGCACCAGCATCCGGTTCCAAGTACTTCTCGATCTGCTTTCTTGCGCCTTTGCCGAGCAAATCCACTTTAGACAGGATGTTCAGATGCGGCAATTCGAGATTCACCATCACGCTCAATGCAGACATTGTCGCCGAAATGAATTTCGCTCCATCCGTCATGAATTGCACGTCCACCAGGTATACGGAACACATGTTGAAATTCCAGTCCTGAAGCATTTGCACCAGCTTCTTCATGGCTGTTAAATGGGTGTAAAGTTCAATCTGACCTGGACAATCAAACAATATGTAATCATCCTCCTGGTCCCCTAGTTTTTCCTGCAACCACTCTGCATTTTGCACCAGATATTCTACGCAGAACACCAACCCTCCATTGGGACCAAAATGTAAATCCTTATCTTCCATTGTATCCTGCACATGGATCAGTTCCCTGATGTCAACCACTGGTTGATAATCAAAGTACTCTGCAGCTGGATCCAAGTTCACCACCTCAATTGTTCTCTTCGCATCAATTCCATGTTGCACCATTGCACTGCAGTAGGTACTCTATTTTTGTTTTTAATTAATATAATTTTAACTGGTCTAAATTTACAATCTTACCTTCCCACTTCCTGCAGGCCCTATTACTAATTGCGCGTATCTCATGTTTGTTGCAACAAGTTACAGTTGATATTCAATGTAACCTACAGATAAAATAGATAAATATTTACTACTAGATTATGTTTTTCAGATAAATTTGCTTACCAAAAAAGGCTGTAACGAGATTAGCACTCACGAACACGCATTTATTTTGACAACAAATCAAATGAACTAAACATTAACATGCTTACCAATTTTGATGTAAGTTGGGTTACATATAGCAATAAGACATTATTTCTCATCATATTTCTGAATTAAAATTCTCAACATAGTATATATTTATATGTATATATGTCTTTAAATTTCAAAATCCTGTTACTTTTTATAAATAGGATAAAATTTAAAATAACCAATACCTGGTGTTAGTTTGGTTCCAATCGTTGCTATTTCTTCTGTATAAATGTATATATTTACTTAACCTCACTGTAATAGAAGTTAATTTTATTAATTATTTATCAACATGGCTAATTACAATAATATAAGTGAGTGTTGTTCAAGTGGATACAATTACGATAAATATTCATTATTTATGTATTTTAGATGACGCACTAAATGAGAAATTACCGATAGCTCAATATGGGGAACCAATTTTAGAAGCTGAAAGTACAATAACAGATTTACTGTTTGAAACTGTACCAGATTCTATTGCAAATGAAGTGGAGAAAAACCTAAGTAAATGGTCATTAAAACTAGAAAAGATTAAGCCAGAGACACGTCAAAAAGTGGTAAGACACTGTAAACATAGATAATTACATCAATAAACTACTACTACCACCAATTAATTATTTCTAGAATATTAAGAGAAAGAAATATTTAACTAGAGATGAGCGTTTAAAGAATGGACTGCTTAAACTTCAAAAAGTTGGTTGGAATTATTCTCAGTTGGCTGAGATGAGATCCATGTGGTTGACATATATGAGAGACAATCTGGAGGGCATTCATAAATGTCCTGAACCCACAGACGCTGAATGGACAAATGTGTCAACAATCCTTAGTAAAAGTGAGCTCACAGGAGCTGATATTACAGTGATAAGATCTACTGTTCCCAATTTGATTGGTACTCGAGGAACTATAGTATTGGAAACCAAAGCCACATTACAAATAGTTACACCAAATAATAAATTAAAGAGTAAGTAAAAGTACAGTATATTATTTAATATAGTAATTTATTTATTTTTTTTTTACAGTTCTACTGAAAAAGCCTACTGTGTTTCAATTTGTATTGGACAAATTTAAATTTACTGTATTTGGGAAACATATTGCAACAAAGCCAAGTGAAAGAAGTGTAAAGAAAATTAAAACTTTGATGCATCCAGATTTGTAAATGTAGAATATTATTGTATATTTTCTTTTCATTAAATATATAAGTTTATTTGTTTGGAAATCTAGGATTGGTGTGACAGGGATAATATCAAATTGAAATTATTTATATACTGAGATGAATGAATGGAGGAAAGTGGAAAGAAATTAAAACAGCAAAAATATTTTTACCTAAAATATAATAATAATATAACTTATAACTGACAATAATAAGATTAAATCAATAATTTAAATAACAATTGACGGGAATAAATTTATACACCTTAGTTTTTTTTTGTTGTTATTCTTTCCTTGCTTCCTTTTTACGAACTAATTTACTACGTAACTCGATTACAGACCATCATAAAGTGCACTTAAATACAAAAAAATAAACTGGTTAAATTAAGTTGAATGAAAGAAAACAAAACAAAGTTCGAACAATTCTAGTTATTAAACCACTATACATTAGTACGCTCTTTTTTTTTAATATATTTGTATTTCATTAGTTTCTTTATAATATTTAATATATACATATAACAATTACTTATATGTATTACTCTTCTCATTATTATTTTTACTATTTCTTTACTTTATTTACAGTAAAAACAGTGCGAGCTCTCGTGTCTGTCATCACTAAACTAAATATTAAATAAATGAAACAATCATTGTAATGGTTTTGAGGAGGATGTTGTTAGCGATAAGTATAAACAAAGCGTAAAAACGGATTCCGATTTGCAGAAAACGATATATTAAAATAGATATTTTTTTAAAATGGAATGAATCTCAAACACCCAATAGAGAAAAAAACAAACAATAATGATTTCCGCTTAAAATAAATAGTAACATTAGTAAGCATTTCTTCGTTCAAGAAGAAAGTAAATCTGTGTGAAAAAATATTTTGGCAAAATACTCTTCTAGTATGTATTCTATATAAATATAGTATAAGTCAAAGGTAGAAAAAAAGGAGAATCTAAAATATTATTTAAAACAATATTAATTAAACAAAATGGACGCAAATGGATTACTCATACACGCATATTTATATATCTTGGGGCAATTACTTTTGGTCAAACGTCTGACGTCCCAAACCAACTAAACAAAATGCTATTACTGTTTTTTTTAAACGTCCTTCGCACTGCGTTAATTCTCAATTATTACCGAACAACTAAAGCAATTTAATTTCCTCCTGCTTTCGTGTTAGGAGGTATTATGTTTCCTTTTATCTTTCGTCTTTATTCCGCCTTAAAATGAATGCACCAGAAAACAGTAGCGACAGCGCAACAGCAGAGCCTACAGAAACCTTATACTTGATTATTGTGGATATAATTATGTATATAATGTTTATATAATTAATATTTTGTATAATTAATAATAATTATAGTGGTAATCTCAAAACAAAACATAAAAAAGAAAACTTCTATTGTCTCAGTTTTGCCTCCACGCACAATTGTTGCATTGCTTGCCGAGAGACAAAGAAATTCATTTAAAAATTTAAAAGTTGAAAGAAAGAATTGTATACATTATACGAATCGTATGTGGCTGCACTGACTTTCATGTTGCACGCTTTACATTCCGTAGCCTTGGTAAGGCGGCATTTGGTGGTTGTAGGCTCCAGTTGGAGGAGGCATGTAATTACCCGTCGGCGGGGCATATTGTTGCGGTATACCTGACAAAACAACAGGAACTTAATACACGTACAAACAATGGCATGCGAAGTATTTCCTGTAACTCTAAGATCAATTGGACTTACCCATGGCAGGTCCTGCTGTCAGCATGAGTTGCGGCTCTCCCATCATCATCGGTTTGTTAGTTTCGTGCTGTTCGGCCTCGCTCTGTCTTTGCGCGTCCGACTGCTCCAGCTTCTCTACCTTGGAGCTCAGTTCCCTCGTGACTTGGATTAGATAGGGCATCGCAAAGTCCATGATCTTATGCCTCCACGCCAATTCCAATATTACATCAGGTCGCAGCAAGTCATAACACTAAAATACATACAGATTTAGCAAGAAAATTCCAAGTATTAGTTAAAATAAAATACTTGATAAAGGCAAGCGGAGAAGCAATCGTATGCTTTACGTTCCAAGAACCATGCCAGCAATTCTTCGGCCAACTCGCCTTGACGAGATTCGGCGGTGTATTCCATGGCGTCACGGAACAGCTTATCCTTCTTACATAATTCCACGCTCTGCTTCCACCTGTTGTTGCCTTTGTATAAGTACGCGGCGATACGTCTGAATTCAGTCAACTCGTGTTTCTCCAGGCTTTGTGCTAAACCGATATTGTCGAAGTTATCGAAAGCGTCAATTGATGTTCTCAATCCCTACAATACCACATGGTTATAATAACAGCAAGAATTTATTTATATAAATTTATGTTACCTGGAAATCTTCCTCTTCAATGAGGAGGTTGTTCAGTGCTTCATTAATGGCCTTGTTGTTCAAGCTCTGGACGCTGCGCAAATAGCTCTTTACCAATTGCAGATGATTGGTTTTGGTGAAGAAGCTTACAGCTCTTGTATGATCCATGCGTGGAGCCAATACCAAAAGCATATCATTGAGAAGTAGCGGTTTGTAATCGAGATAGAATTGGATAGCCTTGTAATACAATTCAATGTTGGCCACTTTTGTAATTATATCTTTGAAATGTCCCTCGCGCCAGGCTTCCGTGGGATGCGCCATCATTGCCAGAACGGCGTTGTCGTACTCTTCATACTTGTCGTACAAGAAAACGAGTTCTGCCCAAAGATGAGCTTGTTCGGCGGCCCTAAGAACCTTCGGAATGTTTACTCGAGACCAGAAGAGCTCCAGATGTTCACGCATTTTCGCCGGCTTATATTTGCTGTATAGAATGGCAAGTTCAGTGAACATACCCATATGGGCTCTTTCCAAGCCCAGAGCAGCCTCCAAAAGCAATATCAACTCTTCGAAGTAGCCACGATCTTGATAGTAATTGATCAAATCCTGAAGCTCATCAGCGTGAACAACGATGTGGAGACCGCACATCTGAGCCAAACGGAATTCTTCGGCATCAACACACGCGAAGCAAACTTCTTTCCACGTGCGTGTGCTATTAGCTTTACGAGCTCCATCAACTGCGCCCTATATCGAATAAAATGGCAATAGTTGAAACACGCACATAGTCTAAAAATTATAAAAAATCTTACCTGGAATTCTTTGAGATGAACCAATGTTATAGAGAGGCGAGCAAAGTTAGAAACATTGTTGTACAGAAGCTTTGCGGCATCGTACATCTTATCATCGAAACAACGATCACCAATCTTCTGAATGTCAGCATGATTAGGTCCGCTGATGAACTCTTCCAAATCAGCTAAACGGCCAGTTTTAGCGTACGAATAAATAAGTTCGGATTCAATATAACTTTCACGTGCTTTCTTACGAGCCATTTGTAAATATCTACAAAAAAAATCCGATTAATATATGTTCAATTCAATTAAGAGTATGCAATGTTTTAGAATTTACCTGACTAAATCTTCCCAGCTATTATTCTTTGAAGCTGTTTCTACAACAGCCATGTATGCGCTAGGATCATCCGCTTTGATATAAGAGTCGATGGCTTCTTTCACCAAACCCTGGTTTAATTGGGCTTTAGCCAACTGACTCCAAACAGCTGGTTCATTGCAGCGTTCTGCAAATTCGTAGGCGCGATCCAAATTCTTGACTTGTTCGATCAAAACTTGAATTGCAGATGTGTTTACATCAAATTTCTTGAAAATAGCAAAAGCTTCCTCGTACAAATGATTGTTGATGGCGATATTGGCTATATCCGGAGCATCGTAATTGTCCAACCTATTGATGTAATCCATGACTCTTGTGGCATCCGCCTTAATTGCAGTTAAGATCAACAAGTTTTGCAAGTTCCTGTGATCTGAGAATACTGAGTTATCCAAAACGATTTTCTCCAACAACTCTATTAACTCATTGGGCAAATCGGCAGTCATAAAAGCCTTGACGGTAACAGAAATATCTTCTGGATCTTGGGTTTCGCTTAAAGCAGTTTGCACTACTTGGTCGATTAGCTGTCTTCGGTAGGGATTGCTTTCGATCAAAACTTCGGCCCACAGTTCCGGATCTCTACGTCTCACCAAGTAGCGAGCTTCGGATTTGAACAGAGAGTTCTCGTTGCAGACTGCGATCAATTCGCGATCGCATTGTCCGCGCTCGTACGCTACGCACGCCAAGTGTGGATCGCGTTTCTCGCAGTATCTACCAACGACTCTGGAATCGTACCATTGGTTTTCCTTCAAGAATCTCTCGGCGTTGTTATTAGAATCGATGTAAATTTTAGCAAGTGCGTTATGGGTGGCTGGTTCAACACAACCCTCGTGGAATCTGCTCTCCAACCATGGCAACAATAGCTTAAGGCGGTTTCTCTTCTCGACCTCTTCGACGAGTTCATCGGTGCTGAACTGTCCACGAACAACCAGAATCAAATTCTTAATTATATCCTCTGCGCAATCAACATCCAGCAAACCGCCGACGACCACTGGAAGCCTGCTAGGGTTTACTTTTTGAACATAAATCTCGATGTACTTTTGCAAAGAATTTCTGTACAAGTACAAAACCAAATCATGGACAAAATCGAAACGATCGCATACGATGATCAACGGCAATTGATCAGTCAACTTGGCTTCCTTCAAGAAGTTTTTAACTCGCTCAGCATTATAGCAGTTACTTTCTCTGCAAATCCTCTCCACTTCTTTAATCTGGCCAGTCTTACAAGCCGCCTGGATGTATTTGAAGTGCACTTCTTGATCTTGGCTGAAGTTAACAATGGATCCAAGGAAATAGAATAGCCCTTCATAGCTCTTGAAGCTTTCGAAAAGATCGATCAATGCTTTAGTGGTCAATTGTTCGTGGTATTTAGTAGCAATTTGAACGCATATTTGCAAATTTTGACGAATGTTCGCGGCAAGCATTGCCTTCAAACATTCCAACGAGTCTTCAACACTCAAAGTACCGAAGAAACCGACCAACCAATCAGCAGGCAGCAGATGCGTATGCACAACGGCTCTTTTGATGTCGTATAAATCGGTGTAATGTTCTAGAGCCCTTTGCAAGAGGCCAGCTTTCTCACAGAGTTGCGCCACATGGGCCCTATCGTAATGAGTAAACATATTGTTACCTAAAATAGCATCAGCAACTTGCGGCGCAGACATCAAATTCATTTCCAAAAGTCTAGTTTGCAAGTGACCTTCGGTAGGCCTGTTGTTTTTCAATGCATCGAGAAGGAAAGCAGTGCACTGTTGCACCATATTTTGTTCCATGAAAATGTCAACGATTTGGTTGATATCGGCGAGCGGTTCTTCATCAGCAACCAGCATTGCCGCGAAAGCAGCACCTTGTTCTGGATTTGTACGCATTACTGTGCGCAGCAAACAAACGTAATCCGGTGTGTAGGAGACTTTCTTCGCGTAGATGACAATTTTCTGAAACTGTCCAGTTTCCGCGAAACTTTGAATAACCTAAAACAATAAAATCATAAGAAAATAGTGACAAGAATAAAATATTGTAATTACTTTGGCGGGAACATTGGCTCTAAGATAAACTGCCAAAGCAAAAGATGGTTCTCCTTGCTTCACAAGATCGCCCAATTCTTCGGAACATTCAAGCTTCTCTTCCCTTAACCATTTCTCCAATAAATGTTTTCTGCCTTGCAGCAAGACTGGCTTGCACAATTCCAAGGATTCGTATCTAAAATATTAATAACTTTAGTGATAATGCAATATTAAATTGATTGAATCATACTTGTTCAATTTTCCTTGGTCCAGCAAGATCCCAAAATATTGGAGAAGTGGACTGTTCTGACCGGCTGGCGTCGGTACTTGTTGGAACATTTGAATTGTAGCAGGGGTACGCAAAATACCCTTAGGAGCATTTGCCGCCACTTTGGCAGCTTCTGCGTATTGCGCATTTTGGAAAAGCATCTGGAATTTACTGATAAAAAGCTCCTCAGCACCGCACAGGTTATTGCGGATAGCGAGTCTCAACGCCAAATCTTGATTATGCAGCACAGTATTTACATAACGAATGATATTATCTTCGTCGACGGAAACCGACAATACTTGTCCTCTTCTGTTAACACCTGAAAATATGACGATTCGTTATTAATATAACATAATGTGCGCAAAATAGCAAAGATTTTTATACCAATTATTCCGCCAGTAGCTTCATGTGGAGCTGTAACGAAAATCGTATCGCCCGAGATCCGATTCATATAAATACAAGTCGCAGTTTCGATATCGTACAGATGGATGTATCCATATTTGGTAATCAGATAGATTACATCATATTTGCTGGAGACCTGCATCGCTACAGGGAAATCATTTTGAGCTTCTGGTGGGAAGAAAACATCGACGGATTTCTTTGCGAATGGTTGGTTGCCTGTTGGACATTGTCCAACCTAGTCAAGAAGAATAAGTAATGAGAAATCAATAAAATTTAATAATTGTGCCAAATTTACTTCAATGATGTGAAGCTTTCCGGCTTGCGCCGTCCTGACTGCGAAGCAAAACAGGGTCGATGGTTCTGGATTGCCCTCCATCTTGAAGGTAGCAAAAGAAGCAGCATGACCTTCGATTGGTTGAGAGCATTTCCTTTCCACTGAATACAATTGCATGGCGCCGGCAACTCGACTTTGTTGGGCGCTGATACCGACCAAAAGCAACCAATTTTGCTTAGGGTCTGTACGATAGTTGATGATTTGGCAACCGTTCAACGAAGAATGTCTAAGGAAATCAATCGTCAGTTTTTTCGAGAACATTGTTCTTTAGTCATACACGATTTACCTATCGAACATTTTGACCGGAGTCGAATCACCTTCCATCGACCAATGATAGACGGCCGTCTCTGTGACGAGAGCCAAGGTATTCAGAGAGATCCACTTCCAAAAGATAACGTCTTCGGCCATCAGATGTGCCTTCATCTTCGACTTCATTTCGATATTGAAGATCTGAAGGGTCTTATGTGTTTCGACGCCAGCTTTGCCTTTGAGGGCGATCACTTTCGACGCCGGATTCATGATAGCGCTCTCCGCGGTGATTGGTCTGCGGATGAGGTTCTGGGGATCGGCCATGTCGATGATGACCACCTGCGACGTCTCGCCGACCTTCTCGCGCACGCAGATGAATTTGTCGCTCTCCATCGTGAGGCATGTGAAGGAGATGTTGGCCACTTGAATCCCCACATTTGTTAGCTAAAAAATGCAAATTATATGAATTTAATAGGTTTAGTTTCACTTCTCATTCATGCATAGTCCAATTGGAACTTTGATGTGACCTAACTGAAAGGTCAATAATATAACCAAGAGATATCAATCTCGTGAAATGTCAATCAGCTGAGTATAAATAGCGTATCGTATTTTTAAAATAACAATAAATATTTATATTTTCCGCTCACTGTTGGTAATCGCAAAAAAAAATAGAAATCGTGTATGACTCAACGTAAATAACGTAAATGTACAATCAAATCATATGTGAACTTGCTTATGCTTATGAGTCAATTTGCTTTGAATAAATCAATAATTGAATGGACGTTATTGCTATAACATATGAATGGCACCAATAAATCAATATCAATGTTTATAAATTTCATGTGATAAGACAATATTCATGTTAGATAAGACCTTCTGGGGTACCTTAGATAGTTTATGTATAAATATAAGTGAGGAATATGTTACAATATTGTGTTGTAATAATTTAGGGGGTGGATGGTTTTTATCTTAACAATGCAGTCTCGCTCCATTTACGCCCCTCAAATGCAACGTTATTTTAGCTAATGGCAGGAAAATCGACCGGCATTACAAGCAGAAATTTTCCGTTTAACAAACTAGGTTAATTCCGAGGAAGCAATGGTATCGCGATTGATTGTGTATCGGTATATGAGATGGGTAGAAAAAAAGAAACATAGGTTTCGGTGAGATATCTACCTGTAGGTGTTCCTGGAACCGTATAGGTAGCAATTGCTGCTGCGACATTTTGTTGCCTTTAGGTCGAACTTGAGCACTTTGATGGCAACCTGCAGTTAGTGTTTTGTGCGGTGAAAAAAACTGCCAGAAATTGTTCTTGCTCTTCTCCAACTGACAGCTCAGCTACACGAAACACCCAATACACGGTCACAGACAAGAGACTGCGCTTTTTCAAGATGGCGCTCTGAAGAAGAGGCCGCCGCCGTTGCTAGTTTTCCCCACCCAGCGTACTACTAAATTGCACTCGAATTGTCTATTCCTCTGATAGAACAGAAAGGAACGGAGCACTTCGAAAACGGAACGAAATTAGTATCCACCGAAACAAACGTTCAGTTCCGTTCCACCGCTAAAATAATATTAAAAAAAATATAGGGGCGTCACTTTAAACTGCCATGTGGCACATACCGACAACGTCACGCAATTATTGACATATCTCTCATGTCATTCGTGTACTTGCCTCTCTGTTTTAATACACCCACTTCTCTATCTCGCATTAAAATGAATCATTTTAACGAGAAAACAACAACAAACAATATCATTATTTAATGGCAGGAACTAGCGAAATTGAAAACGAATGCAAGAGATTTGATAAGTTAGGAAGGAAGTAAACTTATTAATTGATAAGAACGCCAACTATATGATCAGCTGATTTGTAAACAAAAAGTTTTTGTATATAGAATTATGAAGATAATTATATCATCATATCATTTACCATCATAAATTTAATAAGAAAACCAAATTAAGTAAAAAACAATTAAGTAAAAAAATACCTGAGTATTAATACAAACCTTAATTAAATACAAATAAAATTGGCAATTCACCAATTACTATCTTAAGCCAAAATTAGATGAAAATCAAATAATTATTACGAACTTTAAGTATAAAGTAATTAGTAAAATTAATAAACGATAATACCAAAACAGACAAGATTATTAGTTAAAACCCAAATTAGTAGTCTTTTATGTATACATAACAATTTAAATTTCAAAATGATTACCACAGTAAGAAAAATTAAATGTAACTAGCTTCATTCGCATACGCACGCAACACGCGAACTTCACAACGGCAAAATTGCTGTTTTTTTTGTACGAGTTTCTGGACAAAAAATGACAAAACCAATAAACCTTTAACAGTCATTTATTATAAAATTATGGAGACGAATGTTCTTAAAAAAGAAGGACATAGGTACAAGATTTTTAGTCGAAAAGACCGAATCCCATGTCATCGTCTTCCTCGTCGGATTCTTCCTTCTTCTCCTCCTTCTTGGATTCTGTAAAAGAAGAAATACGTCAATACGAGAATTTAATATAAAATTGTTAAGCTACATTTAAAGCTTAAAATCAGTTTAAAGGTTTCTCAACATAGAATTCAGTCGAAAGATGGTATAGTTAAATCATCATTATGTGAATTAATTCAAGATTTGAAATGCTAAATGCTTGTGAAACTTACCCTTCTTCTCCTCAGCAACTGGAGCACCAGCAGCAGCTGGTGCAGCAGCAACGGCGGCACCACCGACTGGCATGGAGCTCAACTTTTCGCGGCCTAAAACAAACATAAACAAATTAACAAGATGTTTTTTTCTGCACGTTTTTAGATGCTTAGAATTAATAAGAATCAGTATAAGTTGTTGAAATCACGAATAATCATTCGAAAGATGGTATGAATAAAGATCATCATAAACATGGTACAAATTATGAAAGATTTTGTTTTGTAATAAATACCTTGGGCGATAAGTTCGTCGATGGTCTTGCCGTTGAGTTCGGAGATGACCTTCTTCAGTTTCTCACCATCGGCTTCAATACCAACGGAGCTGAGGATCTTTTCAATGTCTCCAGAAGCTGGGGCATTGTTGCCGCCGAGCACAGCCAATAAGTAAGCAGCCACGTAACGCATCTGCAAATTGAGGAAACAATTAATACTATAATATTAATCAACGCACATGTAAAAAAACAAAGCATCAATATTATAGGCAACTGGTCTATTTGATGAAGTACAAAAAAAAACAATTGTAAACAACGTGTGCAACTTAACCTCAATTTGCTAAAATATTTTTTAATCGTTAAATATCTTTGGTAACTTTTGCAATCACATTATAAAATCAATTAGATACTTTTACTGGATATTCGAAATAATGGTTGTTACTAATATTTACTATAAATACACGAGAATTACTTACTTTTAAGTCGTTTGACACGAAACGTGTATGCTGACCAGCGTAGAAATGTAGGAAAGGAAGTTAGTAGATGCGTCACCCCCCGAATTCAACTCTACAGCCCTGACGTCATATTCGCGCATGCGCACCAACATTGAAAACGTGAGATTGTGGAACTATTCGAAAATTTTGTATCATTCTTTACTATACTTTACATAACTTATTTGGTTATTATATTCATTATTTTAACAAGTATTAGTTAATTTTAAAGTTCTAAAACAAGTATAGAATATTTTCATTGTTTATATAAAGTTTAGTTGTGTTAATTATTTGTTTATTTTTAAGATTATTTATTTATTTCGTATAGTTGAAGCTTGAATTTCGTATGTTTCATATTATTTAGACTTTGTAATATTTCCCAATCGGTATACAAGTAGTATATGGGGTATATATATACGGGATACATTTTTTTTTATTTGATCTATAACGCGTAACCATGGAGAGTTTTATAATTTTGACTATCGTCAAAAACGTTCAGAAGTTAACTTCTTTCTTGTTTTATCAATTTGTCTACTAATTTTTACACTTGTTTCGCTCAAGATGAATGTGCAAAAGATAAAACAATCCAAACCGATTTTACAATTAAAATTTCCAACCAGGAGACCGGATAAAGGGGAATTCGATTACAGAGAATCTCAGCTTCTAACAAAAGCAACTAAGTATAACTTATACATAGAACATATACAGAGTTCATACATGTTCATTTTTTATTTGTACACAGAATTTTCCCGGATTGGGATAAAGCCAGACATACAATAGATGTAGATGTTGTTACGGTAAAGAGGGAACTTCGCGAAGCCGAAGAGAACCTGAAAAAAACTCGTTTAGAAGCAAAGGAACGATATGCGGCTAATGACTCAATGTGGGCTGAACTTACAAAGAAGCAATTGGACTTGAGACGAAGTTTTTTAAAATTTCATAGTGTACGTAATTTTAGTTTCATGCTTGATTTAATTGAATTTACGCTTTTATTGGTAGTTTGTACGCGAAAATGAGGATAAAAGGATACGAGCTGCGAAAAAGATAATCGAAGAGAAAGAGATGCAGGAGAAGAGAACGCAAATGATCAAAGAGACGGAAGAAATGTGCGCCTGTTTAGCAAAAACCAAGGGACAGTTCGAGGCTAAAATTAAGGATTATAGAATTTATGAAGTATTGTTGCTTAATTGTTTAAGATGTAAATACATTTGTCGCTTTCTAGGACTACTTAGTAGGAGTTTCTAATATACCTGGGGAATTATTTCATGGTGTAAATGATATTATAAAAAGATACGAGTCTTTAAAAGAAGCGAAAGAAGTTATCAGATTGAAGCGATTAATCGAAATGGACGAATTGGATAACGCGAAAAGTCGATTGGTAATTTGTAACTTAAAAAGCTGATAATACAATGATCAATTGAGTGTTTAGGTGAAAATGATCGAGAGGAAGAGTCAAGCTTTGATCGAGATGAACAGCAAAGTTGTGGATCTAATTTGCAGACACGACAGCGCCAAGGATTGTTCTTTGCGATGGGAAAATATTGTTGCTGCAATCAAAGAACGCACGCAGATGAAGCAGGCCGAAATCGATGGTGTAAAGCTTTGCACATGGAACATCTATACTCAGATGTGCGCTAGAAAAACTGAAGCTCCGTCATTAAAGAGATCGGACTTTGAAGGTCAATTGATGCACATTAAGAAAACGCTGCAAGAACTTAGAACCGTTCAAAAGATTGTCGCCAAACAGTGCGTCAATTATACCGGTGTTAAACGAGAAAAGAAAGACCGCAGGGAGCAAGCGACGAACAGGAAATTCGCACATAAAAATTCACAATACGTGACCAACGTGAAAATGCGCTCCAATTTTTTATCGCTCTTCGATCCTGTTAAAAATCCACTAAATAAAATATAAATACGTAATCAAATTCCAAACTAAAAAAGTAGATAGATAGAAGTCTTTATTCCCACTTAAACAAACAAACAAAGAATAAACAAGATAGTTAACAATAATTTAATTATGCGATCGTTTGCTTAGCCATTCTAAACTCGTCGCTCTCCATCCCATCTCCATCTTTACCCAACACAACATTCTCGGTTTTCAAACCAAATTCCAGTATAGAGTTTATTGCCTTTACCATATCGACGTTTTCCAGGATAGATGCGTGATCGCCTTTGAAGAATTCCACCTTGACGTTTTCAGCAATGTGTTTGCTCAATCCGTAATCTTTGGCTATGTCAAAATCGACGGAATTGGTGGGTCTGAACAACGTAACCGGAGTGATCAGTTTATCAAAAGACGTTTTGTAATTGTAAACGGCTTTCAACCTCGCGTAAGAAGCAATGCAAACGGACTTTAGATATTTTTTGGTGTGCGGCAATCCCTTCGGCGTTATATCCACTGCAAGTTGAACTCTCGCCGCAAAATCTTTGCATTTTAATAATTCATTCTAAGAATAGCAAAAAGAATAAACATGTTGATTTGAAATAAAACGATGTATACTTACGCGAACTTCAGCGATCTTATCTACTGGTAAGTATACCGATAAAAGGATGCAAATGAGGCTAGTTTCAAACTCAGAGTCCGGTGTAATTATCATATTCTGTTCAATAATGTACTTCATAAAAGCAGGTGACCCGTCCAACAGAATCAAATTCACCTGATGCGTCTTTTCCAATATCGAAATTATTTCTAAAGCGACGACGCCCCCAAGACTATAAGCAATCACAGTGAACGGCTCGTTTGGCTTTAATTGCTCTTTCATGATCTGAAAATGAAGCTATACAATAACTGAACAAAACTAGATGAAAAAAAAAACTTGAACATAGTTCAAATTGTCCGATTTAAAGTAAAAAAATATACTTAATACGTACAGGTATTAATGACTGTGCAATATCTTGAATAGTGTTGTTATTGCCTTGATAGCTAAATTGCAGACCATACGTTTTGGCATTCAGTAATCTGGCCATAGGTTCATATATTGAACACATTCCTTCGATGCCGGGCAACATGAACACTGTTCCATATAATGCGGACTCGCTGGGAAGAGTGACCAGTGGTATTTTATTGTTCTCTTCATCCGGTATGAAACGCAACAGAAGATTGACCCTGTGCGTTACTTCGCTCAACGTGCCCTCGCAAGTCTTTTCCATTGCAATCTCCTTCAAACTGCAAACAAAATTCAAGTACTCGTACTCGTTCATCTCACCCACAAATAATTACCGTGCAAAGGTCATGCTTCGAATATCCTGAGGCGCCAGAATCACGTCGTACTCCCTCTCCAGAGTCTGCTTGATTTCGACGGCCATCATCGAATCCATCCCGAGTTCCGGTAGCGTCGAATGAAGACTAACCGTTTTCAAATCTCTTATGCCCATGATGTTAACTACATTATCTACAATATTGTCGGCACCGGAAGCACTGCTACACTTCTCTGCGACGACCATGCTTTCCACGATTGTCGCACGACTCCTCATCAATCTATCCAGAACTTCTAGACAGCTGGAGATTTTCTGCTGCAGCGTTCCGCATATGACGATTTCCTGGTTAGATTCCTGTTTCTCCGCAATCACTCCAACATCCCCTATGGCGCCCCACTGGATGGCCAAAGCAGGATACCCGGATTTGCGTCTCTCTTCGCATATCCTTTCCATAATAGAATTCGCCCATCCGTAATTCGTTTGACCGGCATTTCCACGACCGCAAGTCACCGAAGAGAACACGACGAAATCGTGCAGCTTCGGACACAATTTTCTGCTCATCACGTCCATATACTTTGTCACCGTTCCTTTGGGCATTTCAGCTGCGATGAACGAATCTTCGCTTTGGTTTTCAATTAAAGCATCATTCAAGCACACGGCCAAATTGAATATTGCCCCAACCGGACCCAAATGATTCGATTCTTCTAATAATCTTGCAACTCCCATTTCGTTCGATACATTTTCGGTAGATGTAATAACGCTGACGCCGTAACTCTTCCATATCCTAATTCTCAATGCTTGATATCCCGTCTTCGGTCCATTTCTTGATGATAACACAAGTTTCCTTGCTCCTCTGAGCACCAGCCAATCGGCTAATTCCAATCCGATTCCTCCGAGTCCACCGATTATCACGTAGCTGTAGTCCGGATTGCAGGAATACCTAGGTGTAGCCATAAATCTGTTTTGCTTTAAATCATCCCTGATTTTAATAAGCACTTTGCCCGTATGCTTTCCCGTGGACATGTACCTAAAAGCAGCTTCTATTTCGCACGAACTGAATATTGTGTGCGGTAGAGCTTTTATCCATCCGTCGTCGATGCCCTTCGCTAACAAATTGGAAAGGGTTGCCTTTATTTGCGATGACGAAATGAAAAGCGCGTCCAGCATAATTCCATGAAAACTACATCCTTTAGCGACGACGGATTCGGATAATCTCGTATTATTCACTAAATCAAATTTCCCAATTTCCAAGAATTGCCCACCCGGCGCCAAGCATCTCACCGAAGCGCTTAATTTTTCATCAGCTAACGAGTTAAGCACTAAATCGACTCCTCTTCCTTTGGTGCCTTTAAACACCATCTGCTCAAAAGTTGTGTCTCTGGAGCAACCGATGTGATCGTCGCTTATTTGCGGGAAGTTCTTTCGTATAAAATCTCTCTTCTTCTGAGTGCCAACTGTTACGAATATATCGCAATCCCATGCAAGGCAAAGGTTTATTGCTGCCATCCCGACGCCTCCGGAGCCGGAATGGATTAGAACGCTTTGTCCTCTCCTTAATCTAGCTCTCTAGAATAACATCAATTATTTTTAATTATAGTCATGGAGATAATTTACCATTAGAAATGCGTAGATGACAGTTCCATAAACAGTTGGTACGGTGACAGCATCCTCGAAACTCCACCGATCCGGAATAGTCCAAATCAAATGAACATCGGCAGCAATTAAAGTTGATAAAGCATTGAATGGAACCATTCCCATAACTCTCCGTCCACTAAAAGAAATGCATTAAAACTATAAATGTATAATTTGAAATTATCGATTTCGCACTTAGAATCAACCCCGGAAAATTCGAATCCTTGCACACATTCCTGCTCCAAGCGGTTTCTTGTAATCACATCATTTTGGATGCGACCGGTAGCCGTCATAATGTCGCGAAAATTAATAGCGCAACAATAATTCTACAAGTGCAATCTTCAAATTTTAATAATCTATAAATCGTCATTTTTTCTTACGTGAACTAAAAGTTGATCCGGTTCAAGTTCCATGCCACTTTCCAACGGTCCTTCGATCCATCTTAAACTACTCAAATCGCCTCTCACCAAGACATTAACAAAGCAATGTTCGTGACAAACATAATTGGTTTCTTCGAGTGCAAAATGCTTGTACGTACCCCAACTATTATCTTTCCAAACGTTAATACCCAAACCTTTCTTTAGTTGTTCCTGGTAATTAACTTTACCGCTCATCATGAAAACACAACGGACTCTATCCTCCATACCGGGTTCACGTCTCAAGCAATTCACCATGCCCAAAATACCGCTTCTTGCATCTTCCGAAACCAAAACAATGTTTTGATCTAATTTCAAGCACATCTGCACTTTGCTCAACCACTCCAAATCATCATCGACGTTTATGCAATGCTGGTAAGACCATATTTTAGATTGCTTCATCAGCACTAGACGTTCGAACGGTGTTGTGTAAATGGCAATTACCGAAAGTCCATCCGGAATTGAATCGATTTTATTTGCGAGAGATTCACGAGAAATTATGAAACCGGTTGGAAGAAGCATCTTCAAAGCAGTTTTCATTAACTAAAATTATTTGAAAATCAAAAAACATTTTGATGTTAGATAAATCGCAATTCTCCAAACCTTTGATTTTTGCAAGGCATTGTTCGCTACAACCAAGTAACAGTCAAGTTCGGAACCGAATACTCTGTCATCGATGTTTATGCCCTCTTCGAAATCCTCGACGCAATTCGTTAGAAAGATTTCGGGTTGAATCAACGGTTGATCGCGCAAAGTGGATAATATAATCGGACTTATCGGTACTATTTTCTGGTCGCAATTTTCCACCACTTTCACCTTAATCGTGTATTTATTTTCTAAAGCTAATTGAACGGCAATCCGCACAGAATCTTTCAAATCCATCTCAACTTCGTTCGACACAAAACGGTAATTTTCCAAAACGGGTTCGGCTTGCTTTCTTCGCGCAATACCACTTGCCGACAATCCGCGAATTTCAATTGCTCCTGACCTAAATTCAACCAATATATAATTAAACTAATTAATTAAATATCTTTGAGCACCTTATTATGTTGAGATCTTTGTAAAGGTAAACAGGAACCACGCATTTATCCTTTTTAAACATATGTGCGTAACTGATGTGCTTCTTTCCATCCACTTGAACGAAATCAATTTTAGTAGGCACATACAAGATTCTTGTATCCTCTTGCAAGATCTGCATTTGCATCATATTGTCCATGAACGTGATCCAATTTCCTGTCCAAATGATAGATCCGATCGATGCATCTAAATTGCATTCTTGCAAAGCTCGAAATTCGCCTCTGGAAAAAGTTTACATAACTCAAAGTCTTCTTAGTAATGAGCATTAAGACATATACTTGTAGTTATAACCGCGCAATCTGAGTTCTTTGTAAATATCTCTGTGGGATAATTTTATTTCGTTAGAATTGTCCATAGTGGTTGCCAATTTATTCCAATCTTCATTTTCGTTTCCTTCCACGATTCTTCCTGTTACCACGACCGAACCTCCTTCGACAATCTTGAAAATTATATAATTAATTAAAAAAATATCAGAAAATTAAAAAAAAACAACGCACTTCGAAGTTTCCACTGCCTTTCTGAATAATTATAAGGAAAATCAATTTCCCCCTGTTCGGTATTTGGCATGCCCTTATGAATTTAACATCCGTAAAAATTACGTTCATATCTGAAGTGATTTTCCCAGTCATCATAGATAGCGTTTCCCAAACTAAGTTTAGGTAACCAGTAGCAGGGAACAGAAGACGACCGTCGATGACGTGTCCTTTGATAAATTGCCACGTGTCATCATTCAAACCGACCTGTTCGCAATTGATTAACAATTATTATGAAGAATAATATAAGAATCGAATTAATGAATACCTCGATGTTTCTGTGTCCCGTCTTTGTACGGTCTTTAGCTTTGTACACAGTAACGAACCAATCTTTAGAATGGTCCCAATGTATGAGAGGTGAAATCATCGGTGTTCCTCTGGCAACTGGCCATTCGATTCTTGAGTACAATTTTGCAGCATTGAAGTTAGCACCTCGATTATACACACTTTAAAAAAAAAATCAAAAAAATCTCTCAAAATAAACTATATATAGCAAACCTTCCAAGCGCTTCTAAAATTCCAGAGATTGATGAATTTCCGTAGATTACATCGTTTTCGATTTGAAACTCGAACAAATGTTGATTATTCGAAGAAATGCCGTTAAAGATCTCTTGAGATAATTTCTCAGTCAAATCCTCACCAAGAATAGGAATCAGCAAATTAGGCGCAAATGTATCTGGAATAATATATTTTTTTATAATGCAGACATTGATTAACACCAATTAAATTACCTGTGTTTTTTGAAGATTTTGCAATGTAATACGCAGTTAAGAGCGTTTGTTGCAGACTCATCTTATTCAAAACGTACATTTGCGTTAATTTACCCAAACCGTTTCCAATAACTGAATGCAAACCTAAATTGATTGCTTTAAATAATTCGTAGATTCCGAGTTGAATTATAACTGAAGTGAGAACGGTGTGCACTTTATCATTTTCGTTGAAAGCGTACAAAATTTTCTCCAACTGAAACGGAAATTTGTTCGAAACAATCTCGTTTTGGCACCTGTAAAAATAAATACATAGAATGCTGAATATTTGTGCAACAAATCAATTATATACTTTTGAACAAACTGCGCAAAAATTGGAAATTGTAAAAGTTCGTCAATTCGAAAAATACCGTTCGCTGAGGCGAATTTACATTTTACAGCTGTTGGAGCGCCATCGTAATACGTCAAACATTTTTGTTGGATTCCTTCGTCAGTTATGATGGCATAACCACGGAACAAATACCCAGCTATTTGATATCTGTAAATCACGACGTTACTCGATAAAATAATACGATTTGGATAAAGCTTACTTGAAGGATTCTTGCAGTAAACCGATGAAATCCGCATTTAATTTGATTTTGTTCAATTCGTCAAAGAAGTTGTTGACTATCTTTTCGCTCCTCCCGCCAATACAGACCAAACGCGGCGTGGAATCTTTGATTTTATCGTTACTCAATTTGCAATTTCTTCGCAACAGAAGATGGCTGTTGGCACCGCCAAAACCGAAGCTGTTGATACCGAATAGACCGTTTCCTTCAGGTACCGGCGTTTTATCTGCAACAACTTTCAGACGACCCTCAGAAAACGCGGCGATTCCAGATCTAGGAGTTTTGTAGTTTATATTGGGAGGAATCATATCGTTCTCCATTCCTATGATAACTTTAATAACGCTGCATAAACCGGACGACGGCTCGTTGTGACCTATATTGGATTTTACTGAACCAATTAATAACGGAGTTGTACGATCCTTGCAGAAGACTACATCCAAAGTTCCCAATTCTTCAGGATCTCCAACTTTCGTCCCCGTTCCGTGCGCTTCCACGTAACTCAAACTGGATGGCGGAACACCGCACTCCTCGTAAAATTCGTCCAGAAGAACACGCTGGACTTTACCGGAAGGATAGGTAATTCCTTGTTCTTTAAATCCATCGCAATTAGTCTTGCTGTGAAGCACCTAAGAACAACACAAAATCGAATTTATTCTATAAATTTGTTGGTAAATTACTTCAGCGTAAATTCTTTTGGCGTCTATGGACTTTTGCAAGACGATTGCACAAATTCCTTCGGATCGGGCATATCCATTGGCAGATTCATCGAACGATTTGCAAGCTCCGTCCGGACTCAGAACGCCCAATCTAAAGTAATTCAAATTAAGTAACGCATTTTTCAAGTTAATTTGTTATTCATCACCTGGCGAATTGTAAAGATACGAGTGGATGCAAACAAAGATTACATCCTCCGACGATAGCGGTAGAACATTTACCTTCCCTCAGAGATCTGTAAGCGCGCTCGAAAGAAAACAATGAACTGCTGCAAGCCGTATCCGATAGGTAAGATGGACCTTTCAATTTTAGCCAATAGCTTATTCTTTGCGCCAACATAGATCTCGTGCAACTACCAAAGTCATAAGAAATAAAACCAAATTGTACAGTGTTAAATTACTATGTAAATTTTACCCCATTATTCCGTAACTTTGGGGGATGTGCAAATCGTAGAATAACGATTTCTCTGATTCTGAAAAGCAGGCGCCGATGAAAACGCCGGTGTTTGTTCCTTCCAATTCTTTGGGATTCATTCCGGCATCCATGACCGCTTCGATCGTTTTCTCCAACAAAATACGACACATCGGATCCATTGCGTTCGCCTGCTTCGGATGAACACCTTATTGAATATATTTAAATTTAATGTTCGAACATATATTTTAATGCGAATCATCAAATACCAAAGAAAGCCGCATCGAATTTTTCGACATTGTTAATTTTTCCGGTGCGCTGCGGAATCTCCGGATGCGTCGCATCCCAACGACGGAAGTCGCCTGATACTAGATCCACCTTTCCGTACAGATTCGAAGCGAATTCACGTACATCATCCGAATCCGGGAAACTTCCCGAAACTCCTGCACCGAGAACAAATATAGTAAAGTAGACTTACCTTGACTTTGTTATCAACTTCTTATTTTACCTGAAATAACAATTTCTTCGCCAGGAGCAGCATTGATCAATTTTTGACCAGCCAAAATCGATCTCTGTCTAACTTCATCGGTCATTTCGATTAAGCCCATATTCTACAATAATAATAATAATAAAATATATAATTTTTTCAATTGGACATAAAAATTACTCACCGCGTTTTGCTTAGGAAAAGAGGCAACCCACGAATGAGACATCGGCGAGGGTGGTCACATTTAAAGTCTTCGCTTAATGATATTAAAATTAATTTTGCATATGCAAAAGAAATACGTAAATTGGGCTGGCCGTGACCTGCAGAGTGCATTCAAAGAACAAAGCACTCGATTGTTCTTCCAACCCTTGATCAAAAAGGCGCATTTCAAACAATTACAAATTAATTCTTTTTATTTTTGTTTCTTTAATACATATTTTTTAATCCACTTAAGTCTCGGTATTTACATCATTCAAAGATATTATTTTTGTACAAATAAAAAATAGTCAAAAATAATTATAAGATAATTGTTCTCCTATAATAATGTCGTAAGTATTAGTATCTCCACTTATTATTTACATTTTGTTTTTAGGTAACAAAAAAAAAAGAGAAGAAAATGCTTACAACAATTTTACCACAAACTAAATTATATTAAGTTTCCTTTTTTTTCTTCAACATTCGCTTACAATATAGGTACATACATAGTTTTTCGTCGCAATTTTCATTTAACAATTAGTCTCTCCAAATCCCACCGGTAATGCAATTTTTAATATATTTTGTATATAAATGAAAGACAATGTCAGCACAATTAACATCTTGTTTATGATTTTTAACCTATATTTTTTTTTTGCAATTGTTTCAGTTAGAAAATATTACATAAATTATTTGTTTTATGCACAACGGAGTATAAAAATAGATTTTTTTTGTTTTTCTTTAATTTTGTGGGTCGGTCGTTTATGGAACTCTTTTTTGTGGAGTGGCAAATTTCATTGATCAACTGAAGGTATCCTGTGGCAGTGAGAATTGAATTGCGTTAACCTATTTACTATTTACATGGCGATCACACCGCTCCTATCTTCTTCGATCTTTGCTCCTGTCTTCTTTGCGGTCCCTCTCTTTGTCCTCGTCCCTGTGTTTCCCGCGTCTGTACCTCTCTTTTTCCTCCCTCTCGTACTTCTTATCTTTTCTTTCCTTATCATCATACCGCTCCTTCTCGTATCTTTCATACCTTTCTTTATTCTCGTATTTTTCGTACCTGTCGATGTATCGTTCATTACTAGGCGAACGCGATTTCCTTTTATCTCTGTAAAACAATGACATATTAAAAAAAACAATAAATAAAGATATAGATAATTGTATAGAATACATGCCTCGATTTCCTAGAAGTTTTATGTGGGGAAGTTGACCTGGACCTTGAATAAGATCTTCTTTTGTGACCCTTTTTCCTGATAACCTGCGGAGATCTGCTTCGTGATTTACCATGTTTCTTGGACCTCTTATGATGTTTAGAAGCGGGTGAATGACTTGGTGATCGAGTCCTGGACCTCGACCGTTTCTCATTATTTATGGTGGGAACTATGTGACTCCCGGATCGACTTAAATATTAATAATAATTTAAACAAATCCGTTTGTATAAAGTAAAATAAATAATTACCTTATAAATCCTCCCCAGGCGTTGTGAGCGCCAGTCGTTTTCTGCACATTCTGCGGACTCGAAGGACTATTATTATTTGGCGTATTACTTCCAGAGTTTCCTTTGGCTTTAATTTTAGCGTCCTGATATTTCTTACATAGTTCATCGACATTTTTCTCTAATTCATCTACATTAGGCTAAAACATATCAACGTTAATAACGAGTCTCTCGGCTCTACTCAAGATGGATACCTTGGGTCTATTATATAATCGTAAAATTCGCACACAAACATCTCTTATATCTGGTTCTGTAACTCCAAACAGCGAGTACCAGTTTGGATTTTTGGGCAATGGAAGTTTCAATTTCCTAGCGGTGAGGTAGATGCAAGCACAAGCTACAGTTTCAGGCTGGTATCGAACAAAAACGTCAGTCCTAAGTGAGTCATTCATGTAATTCCAAGAATATTGCATCAGATTTGGATTTTGCTCTAAGGCAAGCACTTGAAGATACATAACTATGATCTAAAAAAAAATATATGAAAATAGTATCAATCAGAAGATGATTATGTAAGATCAAAATCTGGTTCACTCAGGATTACTACATTGATCAAAACCAGCATTACAAAACCAGCTATAGGAGATACAAAATATATTTTTATTTTTAATACTTATTTACTATTAAAAAAATATTCAGATGATTTACGTGCAGGAACTGAACTTGAACGTGATCAGAACTGAAAATCATATCATAGCTAATGCTACTATATATAAGTTTCATAGAATGAATAAATAAATACTTACTTTATGAGGATGCTTGATGTGCACACAAAATCCTAATTCCTTTAGGACTCTCCTCTCAGCTTTGATCACCTGATTCTTTAGCTGGATGTAATTCTGGTCCAAAATTACTGGCGTTATGGGTCTAAGTGTAGATCAATCAAGAACAGAAAAAATCAAACAAACAAGGGGACATACATTATTACAAATATCGATAACGAGCTCTAAACTATATGATAACAAAACGTCACTAAAAATCAACAAAACTTTGTATTCAAAAAATACAATGTTTTCAAGTATTAATTAATTAATATCAAATATCATCTAGTAAATAATTACTTTTAAAAAAATGGTGGTAATAAGTTTTGTTCATTTTTAATGTGCATTCTGTGCCAGAACATTTCCAAGTGAAATATAGAGAAATTAACCAGAGAAATTTACCACCATTTTTCTAATTGGGTTTTTTCTACATTACCATAGTTCATCCAACATCAAATAAAAATTTGATTTTGTTTTGTATTTAGAATTTTGGAAAGACGTCCTGTGTTGCAGGTCCATTCCATGACAATAAATTCTCAAGATGGGGGAGGGATTAAAATGTGGATGTGGTCATTTAGAGCATCCTAAAAAACATAGTCTTAAAATGATTAATAGTAAAATACAACATTGGCTCATATTTTGTTTTTGGATTCTATTTAGTAAAAAAAAATAATAGGTAAAAATAAAAAGTGAATAAAAAAAGATTGAATTCAGCAACGCTGATTTTGAATATATATATTTTTTGTGTCCGGCTCTCACTTTCTTCTCCCCCCAGAGTCCATATTCTCTTGACGGTGACTTGATGTCGCTCTTTACAATCTCTTCCAGCTCCCACCACCATCCACTCTACAGATGCGTTCAGAATTGCAACCCTCTGTTGTTCTCTTCTTCACAATGCATTGTGGATGGTGGAAGTCTGTACTCATAAGTACAAGAACCAGAGCAAAGAGAAAGAAAGATAGAGAGAGACAGTGAGTTTTTGATGGCGCCCATTAAACAGAGGCACAGCTCTTAAGGCTTACCTCTCGGAGCCTCTGCAAACCAACAACACAGCATTGAGTGAAAATTATTTCACGGGGGGAGCAATAAACAACACATGAAGAAATAGTTTATGGAGGGGCAAGAAATCGTTAAACAGAAGATATATATGTACACAACTATATAAATTAAAATTAAATAATATCATCTATTTAAACGAATCACAAACCCAACTTAAAATTTACTATTAACAAAAAAAAACAAAATATATCACTCTTTCCAATGTTATATAGTTAATTAGTTGCATTGCATTGAACAAGTCCAGTATATGAAATTGGAACAAGCAATTAATTGGATTTAAAGAAAAATTATAATCCAATATATCTGCTGCAAAAAGTAAACAATTCTACTTTCTTATCAAATTATAAAAAAATAGTGTAAATTTCTCTGCTTATGTTATAAATTTATTTGAAGTAGAATTTATACACACATATTTATGTATATATTAAGATTGTATTGATCTTGATATAGAGTACAGAAAAGTCAACTTACTTGTTTGAACTGATTTGTCTAATATGGGTGAAAACATTGATAACATCTCTTGCTCTACGTGGAGCTTCCTCAATCTTAGAGGCTAAACAGACACATGCCATTGCTGTGTGCTCCACTGGGTGCCTCACTAAACTTTTCGAATAATAAAACCTTTGCAATAAAACTTGCCCTGTAGCCATAGCCACCTACAAACAAAAAAATTGAATACATATACATATAAACAAAATAATAGGGTAATGCAATAGGGTATATCTGTACCTGGGGAAGTTTCAATAAAATCCCTGCAGTTTGAATCAGCTCACAGCCATAGATTCTAAGATCTGTTTCAGTATCAGCATCAAGACCATCGATTTGCGACGGTGTTGATGCCAATTTCTCCTCAGGCAACAGTTGATTCTTCAATGTCAACACTATTTTTCCGTAAGCTTTTCCACTGTTGTTACTTTTTGTGGTGCTGCTGCTTCCATTGCCTTGCTGTTGCAACGGATCACTTTTATTCGAACCCATCATTGCCTCGCTAAGTGGAAATTTCAAGCTCAGTTTTAACCTCCAAGTTCTCGGCAAAGGCAATTACTTGGATTCGATGGCCACAAAAACAATAACAAAATGTGAAAACGCACCAACGATGCTTTTGCGTTATGTGCAGAAGATTTTCATGTTTTTGACAGACCACGAAAATGGCACGGTCGTTGTTAGCCAACTTCAGGTTGGTTAAACAACCGTTTACACCAGTTTACACTCTATATAGATACTTCGAAACATCGGTATTTCTAATATTTAAATTTCTAATATTTTGGTTCATTTTTAACTAATATTTCCATAATGAGTTGATAATTATAAATAAGTTGTTAATAATACAAATTTACTAGTAAAAATAAATATCCTAAATATTATATTAATACAGTGGAACCTCGCTTAACGAGCACCTCGCATAACGAAAATTTTGCTTAACGATCAAAATAAATTGTAAGAAAAATGACTCGCTTAACGAGTGACGTTTCGCATAACGAGTGACGATAAGAAGATTACTCGCTGCTGCATCATTTTTAAAACTTGTGTACACATCCAATACGAGTAAAAATCCGGAAATTTTGGAACGGATTAAACTCGTTAAGCGAGGTTCCTCTGTATATATGACATAGTGCGCGTGCGCGCGTATTATTTTATGCAAACACACAAAATGAATGGAGCAAAGTTTAATGATTCAGGATTATTAATATTCTTCGGTCACATAGCTGCCCCAGGCATGAGGGCACAGTCCTTGGCCTTCTCCACGATATCATTCAGGTGATTCCTTCGTATGGGCATGGGATTTGCACTTGGTAACTGGTTTTCCATCTACACAGAGGTTTTCGTCGAACATTGTAAGTTTTCGTTTGAAAAATAGAGCCACATTAATTAGGCAAGAAATTACACAAACAAAAAAATTGTCTAAACAAAAGTAAAAAACGAAATATGACATTTCTTGTTTGTTGTTGTTGTTTTGGTTCGTTGTCACATAATAACATAAAACTTACGAATGGGGAAAATGTTCACATTTTCTCCATTTGTAAGTTTGAATGGATTAATATACTATTTATAGGAAACCAAAATAATTTATAAATAAAATCTAAAGAAACGGCTAATAATAATGATTTTTCAATTGTAATATTAAAAATTTTCCCGAACATGATTAGCGTAGTTGCTTCCGGCGCTTGCGCAAACCTTACCCAACCCTACATTTTGACGCTTCAATCACAATTTGACATTACTTGTCACCTTGTTTCATAACCGTAGCCCACTTCGATTCTAAAAAAGTAAGTCTAAACTGAATAAACCGAAGTAACTACATCTAATTTACTTAAATTAATTGTTAACAAACGCATCCACTGATATTTTTTGTAATTGCTATAACTAAAATCGAGAGTTATATAATCTTATAGGTTATTGATTTTTTTCTTTATATTTGGATTATATCAAACAATATAAAACTATATTCATTGTAAGGAGCTGTGTTTTATTTTCAGATGGCTGACTCTGTTGCTAATGTGAAGAAACCTGTGCTCCGTGGACTCTTGCACTCACAAATCAAGAGGAACTTGGGTGCTGCCATTGTCCTGAGCATTGTCTCTGGCATTGCACTGAAATATTTGGTCAATGAACCACGTAAAGCCCAATACGCTGAATTCTACAAGTGAGTTATTGTTATTATAGTGATTGCAGTGATTTTATGTAATCATCTTTGCATTTTGTTTTTTTTAGGACCTATGATATTGAAAAGGAATTCAATGAGATGAGAAACAAGGGTGTCTTTGATTCATGCAAACCAAACTAAATGTTAATCAATTTCTCCCCCTTAGAATGAATAAAATAGTTTTAAATTAAAAAAAAGTTAGTAATGTTGATTATTTTCTAGAATATTATATATTTTGTTTGTTAAGAAAAAAGAAATGAAACAATGAAATATTTTCATTTTCTATCAGTTTGTATATTTTCAGTAAAAAAATCTCGCGCCTGCAGCTTTCCTCTTCTTCTAAGAGCCTCTGTCATTTAGCTGTGACCTGCCGACTCATTACGTTGGTCACGATCTGTATTATGTGGTGGAATTCTTGAAGAATAGGTGGGTGTTATGTATTGAGGTATGAATGGCGAAGATGAAATTGGATATTAATTGGTATATGTCTGATCGATTTTGAATGGCATCTATTGAAGTTGGCAAACTATACCTATATTGAAAGTACATCAAACATTTTCCAATAAAAGAGCTCTAATAACCTTGTAGAACTAGACTTGCAGTGGCGGACATATCAGATCAAGGGCGGCTCCTTTAGTCAAACTAGGCACTGCGGGGAAAGACCAGTTGCAAAAGGCTTCCTTGTTCTGCATTGTCACTGTGACCAGTTCTGATCCAGAGGCAGAGTCTTTGACGTGATTTAAAGCGGCAGTCATTTCTGCGAAGTCGAACATCGAAGCATCAATGTTTGGAGAGATTGACGGGTGAAAGTGTTCCTGTATTCGAGTAAAGTCGAGAGACAACTTTTGAACGTCCTCACCTTCTTCCACTCGTAAGATATTGGAGAATACAAGCTCGATGACTCACAAAAGGTTCTGAAGGACGCTCTTTTTTAAATTTTATCAGATTTTTAGTTTTAGCTATTCTCCCAGTGTTGTGGAAAATCTTCAGTAGCCTTCTCCGTTTGGACACAGCTATAGAATATTTGTTGCTCCAGCAGGTGCAAGATAAAGGGTGCAAGGGTAAAGACTGTAAAGAACCGACAGTTTTCAAATGGTTTTGTTGGCCAGTTGGAATGTATTCTCATAATATGATGCAATTTGGAGTAGTGGGGTGGTCCAAAGACGCTGTATGGTTGAGTTTTGATTTTTCTTTAATGTATAAAAAATTGATGTCTTTCGGCTATTTACATAATGATTAATTTTATATAGAAAAAGTTCTGTTCTTCTTCGTAATGAGCTCTCATCTGAGAGAGCGCTTCTATATTTAACTGTGTCTTGTCGAAGCCAATCACATGTGCGGTAGCTATCAAGATTCGATGTAAGCGAATCTAAATCAATGGCTACAATACAATGCACTCCAATGGGCTCATGAAGGATTAAACGATTAAACAAAGTTCTGTTCCTTCCACTCTGAAAAGAGTGTCAGTATGCAACTTAGCTCGCACAGCGGAGTGCATGTAGCTTTTGTAGTCTATGCTTTTTTGATTAAAAAAGAGATTTATATCAATTTATTATTGATATAAATCTCTTTGGCCATATTTCTACCATTTTTGAGGATCGAACCAACGACCTTTCGCGATACAGGCGATTATAGCCACACGGAATCAGTCTATGCTATATATGTAATTGAAATTTGACTTGTCTGGCGACATGTAACTTCATGTGCGAATGGTGCGAACTAAGTTGCTAAGTTGTTGACTTCTACTCTCGGTAGAGTGGAAGAAGAAGAAAATATTTTGGGGTAATTAATTTTTATTTTGGTTTTCGTGGCCGATATCCAACGGCGTGAAATTAGCTGCGGTTAGTACAGTGTATTTTCATTTAGAAACCGCGAAAGACATATTAAAGGTTAGATTCAGTTAAACTTGTTTATTTTGATAGAGAAAAGAAGGATTTGTAGTTGGTTCAAGTGGCGAGGTGTGCTCCTAGGATTAGAGTGTATCTCTTCAATTCGAGGCAAAATTTGAAGCAGCAAAAGTATATAGGAGGATTGGTTGCAGTACCGTAAAGTTAAAGTTACTGAGACATATATCGTTCTGTATATGAGGGCCAAGTGGACATAACTAACTTTTAAGGTTATTTGGTGCAATTATAATATTTGAGTGTAGTTTCTGTTGTACAGTGGCAAAAAGGGTGGTTGGTGGTAGGTGGCTGCAGATTCTGGCGAAAGAAGGGGGGCCCGACTAAACGTCAACGTGCTTGAGGATATGGGGGCAGTTTGCTGGTAGACCGTTCGCTGGATAGATGGGTGTGCGTTGTCCATCTGGTGGCGTTTTGAATTTGGCGGGCAGTCCGTGTACCCATGATGCGCCGCGGCCGCGAGTCGCGCATCCAGTTTGCGCACATCAATGGCGTCCAGTTGTTATTGTTGAAAGCGTATAAACTATTTGTGAAAAGATTATGTGCGTTTCCCGTGTGTTTTTAGCGCGTGGCGAGTGTGTTTAGGGACGGCGCGTGGAGTTTCGGACGAGTTGGGTCGTCCGTGCGATCCGCGGCCGGCTGTTTGTGCGTTTAAAAGTGTGTCACATAAAATGGGGTATGTAATGTTTCTTAGCCCGTAGGCAAATCAATTTCTGTCGGGTGGAAGAAAAACCGTCCGACCGGACTCTTGGATCTACTGCAGCGAGAGCGTCGGGGGTCGCCAGAAAGGGAATGGGTCGCGGATGATCCGCGAAGGTCCCGGCGCCTCGTCCATCTCGCGTCCCCGCACACCATCCGCATCCCATCGGCTTCATTGCAAATGTCCAATATTTGACAATAGAACACATGGAAATACACTCCCCCGTCTGGCCCGTACAAGATGGCTGCGAGCGCAGATCCATCTTTTTCCATGACAATCTTCCTTCGTTTTCGTCGCCGTGTTCCATTGTTTATTATCGTCGTCGTATCCCCCCAATCTCATCCCCCGATTCGTTCCATCCGCGGCCCCGGCGCGCCCTAAAAATCTTGGAACTTTCCTTCCTCTTCTCTCTCTCTCTCTCTCGCTCACTCGGCAATCCTTTGATTCCCCTCCAAACAAATCCGCCGTCCACCAAATAGAGATTTCCATCATCTCAATTCCCCGCAAATTAACCATCGCGTACCCCATCGAAATTTACCACCCCCACCATCATCATCTGACCCCCAAAAAAATATCCGCTTGACAGTTTTTAATTATCTTTCCATTAAACATAACCTAATTGTAATTGTTTACATTTTACAACCCCCCTCGTTAAATACTCATTAATCACACATAAGTTGATTATTGGAACATTAAAATAAAAATGGAACTGTTATAACTATTTGAATATTTTAAAGCAACCTAACTGACAATCACCTAAGGCACTTTAAAATTGAGTATTATTGCAAAAGTAAAAATGCACTTTTTGCATTTGCATCAAATATAATTAGTATAATTTGCATTAAATCAACCCTTATATTATGTTCTTGTTTACTATTGATATTCTACTTGATTATTGATACTCTTTATTAATTGCATTTTTCCGCAATTTAATTAATTTGAAATATTTATTAAATGCCACGTATTTTCGTAATATAAAATACGTGGATGATGGCGATTTTGAAAAGTGCGATAAATTTTCTTTTCAATTTTCTTGTAAATAAAGATAAAGACTGTTTCACATTTGATTCACATTTATCAATAATGATAATTTGTTAATAATGTAGTTATTATTATAAATTTGTTATTTTTTTGTTTGTTTTCAGATGGCAGCAGATAGTGCGGGTGTCGCCTTAACAGCGGTGGTAACCTGCGAGGGAGACTTGGATGATCCAGAGTTCGCTGGAGTATTCGAGCGAACCTTAGCCAGTCTGCAAGGTATCTTGGAGGAGGGTCCGATTAAAGTGCACAAGCTGGAGCCTTGGAATTCGGTGCGCGTGACGCTGTCCATTCCGAGGGAGGCGGCGTTGCGGCTAAGACAGCTCGCAAATGATGGATCGCAACAACTGCGCGCACTTGGCATCCTCAGCGTGCAGGTGGAGGGCGACCAAGTCATCTCCTTGCGGTTGGCCGCCACCTCATCTACTGCCGAATCGCAAGAGATTGTTCTGAGAACGGGGCAACAAGGTTCGATACATTCAACATTGCACATTAATTTTAATGTACATTGTTTTTGTTGTTGTTAACACAGCCTCTACTGTTATTTGTGTTTCAGATGGCAGTGGATCGAGTGGAAGTACTAGTCTGTCGCAGTTGTTGGTTGGTGGTGCCAGTAGCGGCGGAGAAAGTGTTGTGTCATCCGGTACGGCGACGGCGAGTAGTAACTCAAGTATTACTGCGTCTTCGGAAAAAGTGCAATTTCGTTCACCAAATGTGGTATGTCCGTCGGATAGTATAGTACCAAAAGTGCCAGTGGGTAGTGCTAGTAATGCGGTTACGCCACCGACGACGAAGACATTCGCGGGACCATTTCCATTCACCAGCATGAACCAAGCAATGCATAGCAATGGAAACGGTGGTGTCGGTGCCAGTGCGCCGGTTGCTAATTTCTCTACCCCGCCGCCACCTTATCCCGGAAAACATCCGCCGGTCACGTTGTCCAGTCCGCTGCTGGTGAATCTTCTTCAAAATGAAGGGGGTACTTCATCATCAACATCATCATCAATTAATTCGACCGCTTCAACTTCTTCGAGTACGCGATTGCAATCCGAGTTGACATCAACTAACAAAGTTAGGACGTTACCTTCGACTCAACAAGCGTCCAATAACAAGATTCTCTATAATGTCTTGCCTCAACGACAGCAGCAGCAGATCACAAATGTCACTTTGTCTACACAACAACAGCAGCAGCAACAGAAACTTGTTATTCGAGAGCAACCCCCACCACAACCATCACAGCAGCAACAACAGAAGTCTCAGCAGCATCAGCAACAACATCATCATCATCAACAACAACAAGCACCATCTACACAAGTTGTTGGACATCATAATCATAGCATGTCGCAAGTTGCATCTACAACATCGTCACTATCTACGCCGATAGTGACCGTAAGAAATCCCACTGTGCCTTACAATATATTCAATCCACAACCTCAAACTCAGTTGCCACCTCCTTCATATCCAAATACGATACGACAATGGGGTGATTCGCTTGGACAGCATTATCAACAGCAACAAATGCAGCAACCGCCGCAGATGCCACAACTGCAAGAATTGATGCCATCTCTGACCGACCTGAAAGCCGATCTAGACCAGCTGTTGCCGACGCTAGAAAGGGATTTAGCTGGTAGTCCGCCGGATTTACCGGATCTGCTTAACGACAAATCATCTAAAACCGTTTACCTTATTAATCCATTGACTGGTGAACTGGAACCGCAGTCTAATAGTGATAGTGAAGAGGAAGAGTTCAGGGATGTTTTCACAGGTATGTTGATAATAAATTGTATATCTGTAATATCTAATATTGACGTATTTTTCTATTGGTAATTTAGGTTTACCATCACCATCAACTCTATCAGATGAGGATACCAATTCCACGATTAGACCGGACACCACGGATCAAAGTGATAGCGAGAGTAGAAGCTGCCACAGTGATAGTAGTAAACATTCGAAGATAAAGGGGCGGAATCGGGATGCCAAAGGTCGCGACTCGCCCAGCGTTGCAGGGAAACCAACTGAGAAAATCAAGTTACGTTTAAAGCTGGAAAAGTCTGAACCAGTTAGTCCCGCGTACAAAGTTGACGTTAGTTTTATAAACACGCAGCAATCGAAAAAGTCAACAATCAGTGCATCTAGTACCGGCGGCGGTGGTGGTGCCCTAGGTGGCGGCATTGGCGAAGAACCGAGAGTCCCACCGCTACACATCTCGTTACGCGGCCGGAATCATGCAGTGATAAACAACAAGAAGAAAGTAAAAACTAGTGCGAGCGACAAGGTACGGAAAGTGCAACAAGTGAAAAAGGACCTGGGCGACGACGAATGCGATTACGAATCGCGTAAAGTGAAAAAACCCAAACTGAGTGTAAACGAAATTAAGAAAATTGTATGTCTGGGAGATGCGAAGGACGTAAATGCTTACGTGAATCTACATTTTAAGGAGAAGCTTAAGGAGCGACGTGGCAGTGATTCCGAATTAGCGAGGAACAATAAAAAATTTACAGACAGCAACGGTGTTCTATCGGACGAGAAAAAGCGACGGCTGAGTCAGACAGCGGCAGAGGATAGTTTCGATTTGTCTCTGACGTCGACTACTTCTGCTGCGAGTGCTACTACTACTGTGTTGGGTTCCACGAACATGGGTACGATGTCGTCGATTGCTACTAGCCATAAGATCAGAAAGGACAAGGCGAAGCTGAAAGAAAACTTTAAAAACAAGGAATTGAACAGATTTAAAAGTTACTCTAAGAATATAGCGGATATAAGTCCCAGGCGTAATAAGCAGCAACAACAACTAGTTGCCTTACCTACAGGGGAAATTGACATGGAGGCTAAGTTTAAACAAAGGTTAATGGAAGATGGAGGAGACAGCAGGACGGTCACAACGACGGTCCAGCAACTAATTCACATACCTAATAATGCACTGGAAGTGACTGATCCAAAAGTGGAGGACTTAATTCAAACATTGACAAATCCCCCACCGATCAAAGACAAACCCCCCGAGCCTGACAAGTGTAACACGCCTGACCGAAAGAACGATGATAAACCACCGAACCATCGATCACCGAATTCCGGTGCACAGGGAGAAGATAGTGGTATAGAAAGTATGGATGCTTTGAGCGAGAAGAGCCCCAACCAGGCTAGCCAGAGCCCGCACGAGGAGATCCCAGATCCCACGCTACCATCTAAAACCAAAACTCATCATCAAGTGCCTGATATACTCGATATTGAAGCCCAGTTAGCCAAAATGGAGGGACTTCACAGTGAAGATGACCTCAACGAAAACAGTAGTACTAGGACCGCTAACAATACGACGACCACCACCACCAAATCAAATTTGGAACATTGTTGTGTTTTAACATCCGCCCTTCAAGACAGCCTGTGCAAGGGTACCGTTTCGTTGACGCCTCAGCCGACGACGAAGACGACGTCATCTTTGTCATCAAACAATTCCAACGCCGCCGCCGCTGCTGCTGGTGCAGTTAAGGAGCAGCAGCAGTCGATGGTGATGCAGAAACAACCCGACGTGAGCATTCTACCAACTACAAATAAGAGCAAATCTTTGGAAAACCACGATTTAGAACCACTTCCTATAAGAGTGACACCTCCACTCTATACATACTCGAATCCGGAGAAAAGGGGCACAGACAGTCCGACCCTCATGTCCGACAATGAATTGAACTCGATCAATCAATGCAATCCGATCCTCCCGAAGAGTCTGTTGGAGCAGTTGCTTATAGAAATACCGACGGAAAACCAGATGCCAGCAAATTCTCCGAGTCCTGCGACACGATCGGTGCGAACGCGTGCGTCGTCCAAGTTGAATAGCCCGGAGCAACTGTTGAATTCTCCAAAACCTGCGAAGAGCACGCCCACGGCGAAACGAAAACGGCTCGAATCGGACAGCTCTGGTAATAATGGTGGCATCGATGTGGTGGATCAACGTAGTAACAAGAAACCGCGAAAATGTTCGGAAAACACCACTGAATTGATTAAAGCATGTTTAGATTCAAGCACCGCAACCACCGTCACCAACAAAGTTGTAAATAATTCCAGCGGTGCAGCGATGACGACGACGATGATGACGACAGTAACGACTAATACGCCGGTAACGACTAGCGCTGCAGCTCTGAACATCGTCAATCCAAAAAAAGTGCTGGAAGAGAGTTCGGATAGCGATGAGCCTCTCATAGAAGTTGTCGGGAAGGTGCGGAGCAAGAGTAACAACAATTCCACCAATGGCGCTAACGCTACCGCCAAAGTGAAGTTAAAAGGATCGGTAAATGCGCCTCCTTTTTCCCCAAGTGTTATGAGTGGTACGAGACGGTCGATCCGAGCAGTACCGGTGGCAGCAGTCAATACGAGGAGCAAAGGGGACAAGAGTAGTAGTAACCCCGACAACGATATCATCCGTAGAAAAACTCGAAGTACAGGTGGGTCCCAATTTGACAACAAATTCTATACTAATATTGCAAAACCAGCTTTCTCGACACAATTTATCTTTTCAAACTAATATATTTATAAACTAATTTTACAAAAAAAAATTCAATATATTGACAAAACTAAAAAGAAATAGTAGTATACTTTTATAATAATGCACTTTATTATATTAATCTAAAAACCTTAGACTTGATACTCCAAGTATTATGCAATGAAGGCACAGATTATGATTAGTCACATTTTTTCTTTGATAAAAGTATATCAAATAAACAATATTTTAATGAATAATAACGACAAGACATACAGTGTTATCCTAAAGTCACCTTTACTTATAGAACATTGTCACTATCACTACTATTCTGCAATTATAAACACAAACATGACTGGCTCAATGCAAATGCGAAGAACACAAATGTGAACACAAAAAGTATGAATGAGTTTGTATCGCAGGTTGTAACCTACTTACGCAGTTATAATATATATTTCTTGTAAATCGAATAATACGATATTATTATATTTAATTTTTGTGTGCTTATGTTTATCGCAAAGAATAATATTTTTGCAAATTTATTTTGATTAATTCCTATGCATGTTGATTTTCAAGAAACATCCAAGCAATTGTGTGATGGCACAAGCATTCTAAAACTTACTTGAGAAGCAAGCAAGCATGAGAGGCAAATCGACCGCGTGCGTAGTAAATCGAATTCGCGTAAGTAGGAGACTGCCTGTAATTGACTTTATTTAAATGTAAAACTAATATAGTTTAAAAGTAAATAATCAGTGGATCCCCATAGAATTATAGAATTACGCGACAAATACCAAAGTTTCTTGCAAAGTGTAGGACAGTGCACTGAGACAGTTGGTAGAGATGATGCAAATTTTAAATCCGTTTCGAGATTACGATAGATATGACGAAAAAGAGATTATATTTTCCAAAAGTCATCATCATCGCTTTATCGAAATTGTTATGCGTTTTTATAAAAATAAATGAAAAAAAAAATAAAGTTATGTTATACAAAGCAGCATTTATGATTTTGATCAATTTATTTCAAAGCTCGCTCAGTTTGTTAATTGAATTCATTTTGTTGTTCATGTATAAAGAAGTTATTGTTGTCTATTTGTCTAATGGTTCGTTGTTTTGTGTTTGCAGTATCTGAGGGAGAAGGGAAACGGAAAAAGGACATTAAGTGACAATGCCAGGAGGAGGACTGCTGCCAATGCGGCGTCGGCAGCAGTCTGTGTCGCCGTCGTCATCATCATCATCGTAGGTGTCGTGCATCGTCACCACAGCCGCCTCCGGCTTTTCCAACTCCGACCTCCTCTACTACAGCTGCTGCGGCGGCGGCGGCATTGACTACCGCTGAACTCTTCCGTTCGCTGTACTGCGGACCGCCGGTCGGGCAGCAACAACGGCTGCCCCAAACAGCACCTCCTACGCCCACAAGCGAGGTGGCGAACGCAGGCTTTGCGGATTAAGTACAAAAAAATATTTAAAAGAGAAATTTAAATACCCGCTGACACTGTATAGAATGTGATATATACTGTACATAGTTAGGTAATTGTATATATATATATATAATATTATTATACAAGAAGAAAAAAAAACACATTGGAAGAAAACGAGATGATGCAAAAAAAAATATCCAAACCAAATCAGAAGATATACACACACACTCATCTACACACACACATTCACTTTACACGCTGAAATGAGATGGTGAACAGATTTACAAAGTGAGAAATGGTGGGAAATAATAATGAAGAAGAAAAAAAAGGGATGCAAAACTTGGTTTAAGTTTAAAGAAAACATTTGATTACTTTTATCACGGACAGTGCGATTTAATTTTTATTATTTGTTCTATTATCTGTTTTGTCTTACTTATATGTAAAAAAAAGTTAATATTTTTAATTTAGTACATACGAGAAAAAGGATTATTTACAACAACAAAAAACATCAACAACACAAGTGGTTTAGTACAGTAATTATCATCCTAATTAGTTTATATTACATGCAATAAAATTTCTTCCGACGTTGCCTTTTTTGAAACAAAAAGTAGATTGTATGACCAACAAAAGAAATGCCTTGATATTCTATTTGTTTGAGGCCAGACGACAACAAAAAGAAACGTAAATCAGAATCAAATAATTTGATTTGATTCCGTTACGTTTCTCCTAAGATGCACACACACACCAACGTCAAAATCAAGATCGAAGTGGACGAAACAGTGATTTTTCCCTTTTGTTTCTTATAATTTTGTACTTTTGACGTTTCTCTTTCTCTAATTTATTTGCTACATCATACGTGATCTTGACGGAAAATGTTTAATTATAATAATATTTATTTAGTTTCACCATTTTACATTATTTTTTTTCCGTTTTCTTTCATTGTTTTATAATACGCGACAACAGCGTTACGTGTGTCGTATTTGTGAATACAAAATTTAAAAAAAAAGAAGTTATGCCCAAGTGACCACGCCCTACACCCCCCTCCCCTCGAAAGAGGTTAACAATTGGTTGGACAAAAGCCCGTGCCCCTCCTGCTCCTCGCATCCTGTTTAATAACAAGAAAATCTTTCATTGAATTTCAAGAAGATGATGAAGAAGAAAAGCAAAGAAACCCTGTCTGTATTTCTTATATAAATATGTATATATCCGCAATTATATAATATATATTACTTTTTACTTTAATTTTGCATTTTACTTGGACAAACAGTGGATATATTATTTTTTAAATATAATTTCTATGTATATTTTTTTTTATCTATACAATAATATTTGTGAAATTGTTGACATATTGTTTATGTTTTATTATTATTTTTTTTTTGTAGCTTAGTTAATATTTTTTTATTATTTTCTCTTTGTTTTATTTATATTTAAAATATATCGTAAATGAGGGAAATGAAAGTAAAAAAGCAACCACCGTGAAAACAACTTATAGACACAATATATAAGTCTATATATATATATATATATATATAGAGAGAGAGCGAAAGAATGTGATTATTTGTTTAATATTATTTCTTATTTTTTTTGTTTTAAATTAATTAATTATCTTTTTGTTCTCCCTCTATTCATTATTATTATTTTTTGTTTCTTTTGCGTAAAATACGATGACTTGTAATATTTCTTAATTGTAGATTTTGTGGAAAGGTTGATGAAATAAGCTATATATTGTTAAATAGAAATATCTTAATATATAATATTGTTTTCATTCAATTTGAAAATTATTGGTTTCTTCTTATTTTTTTCTTTCTTTATATAATATAAATATATATATATATATATATTTGATTTAATCGAAGAAAACAAGTGAGAAGAAAAAAAAAACAAACAACGTTAAGATTTTTATAAAGAAGTTAACGAATCAGTTTATTATTTTTTCTTTTTCTGCTGCGGTTTTCCGAAAGCTTTCCCTTGTCCACCTCCGAACATTTTTCCTGATTTACCACCGCCGGCGCCGCCCTTCTTTCCACCAGTTTGTCCTTTCTTATTGTTTGTCTGCATCTTTTTGGCCACGTTCGCGTCGTACCTCAACTTCTTCGCGCCCTTCTTTGAAGTGTCTGTCAGCTCGGACGTGAAGTTCGAGGATTTGCGTTTGACGCCGCCGCTTCCTCTTGCCTGAGACTCGACGATTGCGTTCATCTTCTTCGGTTTTAACTTACGTTTGGCCGCCCTCGCCTGCAGCAATGCCACTTTGTCCATTTCGTTGCGAACAGAGTCCGGTGCATTGCCTTTTCCGTTTTTACCTTTACCTACAAAATAACACATTGATTTCTCATTCCGCAAATAATAACAAATATTTAGATCGTACCTTTCTTATCCTTGTTTCCTTTCATTTTTTTATCCTTTAACGATGTTCCAGTCAACGAAAGACGTTCTTTCTCCTTGCGACGTTGATCCTTCGACTGGAACCAAGGTCTCGAATCCTGCTGAACACCCTTCAAAATGTTGTCCGCGCGATTCGCCTTATTTTCCGCCATGCTCATAAACCGCTCTTCCATCTCTTCCCTCAGAATGTCCTGAAGTTGATCCTCAACGCCGACCAATTTCTTTTTGTACTTGTCCAAAATATCGTTAGGAATGAGCCTACTTTTTACAGAACTCTTGGCTTGCTTAACGATCTGCTTGACCATCTTCCTCTCCAATTCGCCGGCCAACGAAACGGACACACCAGCTCTTCCCGCTCTCGCCGTTCTGCCCACCCTGTGAATGTAATGCTCAAGGGTCGCGGGCATCGTGAAGTTGATGACCGTTTGAACTCCGACGATATCCAAACCACGAGCCGCCACATCCGTGGCAATCATTATATCAGCCTCTTCCTTCTTGAACTTGGCCAATGCTTCCAATCTCTGTGGTTGCGACAGATTACCGTGCAGTTCAACCACTTTGACGCCGAGCAACCCGAGCAGAATGTGTAACCTGTGCGCTTGCTTCTTAGTCTGCACGAAGATAATGCAATGATTCCGGAACGTACGGCAGACGAGCGCGGCCAAAATAGGTTCCCTATCGCCCTCCTTATCTTTGCGAATCCTCACGAATTCCTGCCTCAAGTTAAATGCCACCCCTTGATTGCTGTCCACGAACAACCGAACGGGTTTATCCAAAGATACTGTCGCCAAATCCTTCACTTCGTCTGTCATCGTCGCTGAGAACAGCATAGTTTGTCTAGTTTTCGAGCACTGCTTAATGATTTCATTCATCTGCTCGGCGAAATACTCATCCAACATCCTGTCGGCCTCGTCCAGAATTAACACTTCAATTGAATCGAGTCCAAACGTCGGCGTACTTTTCAGATGATCGATCAGACGACCCGGCGTCGCAATAACTACATCTGGATTTCGCCTAAGCACATTCTCCTGAATCTTCAAATCCAAACCGCCTACAGCTAGAGCTACCTCTATATTAGTATACTGTGTTAATTGTTTAGTAACTTGATACACTTGTACGCCAAGCTCTCGAGTGGGTACCAAAACCAATACCCTAGAAACAGCAGTCTCTGCAGGTCTGTACAATAATCTCTCCAGTGTGGGAAGCATATATGCTGCAGTTTTACCAGTTCCAGTTGCCGCACACCCGCAAATATCCCTACCCAATAAAGCCACTGGAATAGCTGCAGCCTGTATAGGTGTTGGATGTACAAATTTCATATCACCTATAGCTTTCATCAAGGGTCTAGATAAATTCATCTTGTAAAAATTAACAGCACCGCTATCATCATTACACACTGGGATATCTTCGAAGAAAGCATCCTTCTCAATCTCACTGCTCTGCTTTTTCTTGTGCCTACTCTCTTTAACCTTAATGTCATCATGTTTCAACTCATCATCAGATAAACTTACATCAGATTGGTTTCCATCAACATTCTCATCAACATCGTCCTCTTCATCTTTCACCTTTTCTCTTGCCTTCTTAATTTTATCATCAGTTTTAGATTTTGCTTTCCTCTTTATGTACTTGTTCAAATCATTCCATGTATCTTCATTGTACTCCTCTGTGCTGGCAACAAATTGAAATCCAGTATCAAAATCCTTTTTCGTTATATTCTTTTGCTTTCTAGGTTGAAACTGAAATAAAAGAAAGAAAAATGGTTATAAAAATCGCACTCTAATTTTTGTAGGTTTATAAAAATTAAATTTTCATCTAAACATTCAACTAATACCATGTTTTTTAGGTTAAGATTTAAAGAAATTAAGTGAAAATATAACTGTGTACATACCATAACTTCATCGTCGGATTCCTCCGAAAAACATTCCACTTCTTCGTCATCTTCAATAGTTTTAATTAAATCTAGAGACTTATGTTTGGCGGGTTCCTTCATTTCGCAGTTGTTACAAGTAGAGGTTAAGTTTGTAAATGTCAAGAGATGTACGGAACACGTGTGTTTTGAAAATAATCGTACCAATCGTACGTTGCATTTTGATTCTTGTATGTGCCAATAGATGGTGAGTTAGGTAACGAATAGTCGTAATGTTTTTATTTGTTAAAACAAAAATATGCAATTAGTAATATATAGAAAGATTATTCAATCATCTAATGCACTAACAATAAATTAAAAATACTAATTAAATTTGATTGATGATTTGTAGAATAAGTTGCCTATTCCAACCGCTAGTTACGTAACCAAAAGTTGAATAAGGCTGTTATTGTTAAAACCATAAGTCAGCTATATTTGAGATAATAAATTGTTATAAAAAGCATTTAGATTATACTTATGGATTTCGATTTTGATTTAATCTATAATTATTTGTTTATTACTGATTATAATCGCCGATTAAAATAGTTTTCATAATTGAATATTGATTGAAAATGTTTGTAATCTATATAAAATATCATTTTTTAATCAATTAAGCATATTCATAATATTCGATCTATATTTCTACATATGTGAGATCTTAGTGAAATTATATTTTCTGGAAATGTTGCTTAAATAATTAAAACAGAACTTCCCATACATTTTGATAAGATGGGATGTCATACTGACAAACAGATAATATATAACATAATTGTTACACTGATTGTTACACTGACAGTAAATAAATAACATATAACACTGTTTTTCAACTGTTATATCTTGAATCTGTAGTTATTTTTTTAAAATTATGATGTATATGTATGTAGGATAATTTGATTTGAATCATGAGCAGAAAAAAATCGATAATTTGTGGTAATTATGTAGGAAAAATAAAATGGTAAAAAGAAGGTGCGCATTGATATTGTGCACGTAGACGTCAGCCGGAGGAGCGCGAGGCTTAGCGCACTGGATCTATTAATACAGCCTTGCATGTTCAATCCGTGACAGTCCAAGTCCGGTGCAATCCAGTCCTTTCGCGTCGCGACTGAAAGAGTACATCGAGAGTAAACACAGCAGGTCGCAGCAGTACAGAGTCTGTCTGCAGGATGCCGAACATCATCAACGAGATCAAGCTCGACTTCAAAGACGTCCTGCTGAAGCCTAAAAGATCCACACTGCGGAGCCGCAACGATGTTAGTATTATCGATTCGCATCTTTCGGCATTTATTACATCGTGCACAACATAATATACTTACTTTTTTTTTTGTTGTTGTTGCAAGGAATAAAAATAATAAAATTCAAACAGCATGTAATAGAGTGCGCCCGCCCTTCAATCCACCTTTATTTATAAATTTGCTATTGGCCCCGTTCTCTATTTAACTTGCGCTTCAACTCGGTTCCGAAATATATAAATAATTAGCGTCAATTATCATAGTTCGAAATTTTGAAAATTACTACACGAACAAAAAACAAACAATGACGCACGTTACGCAAGCTGCTTACTTCAATCTTTACACACATTGATCGTTTTTTTTTATTTCGTTTTGTTTTCCTCAAATTTGTACAGAATCTTATCTAACCGAATGCTATTATGTTGCATGAACCCTATTTTGCAACAACACCAAATTGTTCTAATTAGACTAAAAAAAATTGTTGAAATAATATCAGTTTAGTTAAACTAAAAAAAAACGATTAATTTATCAAATATAAACTTTCAATCCAATGAAATCGTATTTTCTAGTACAGAAATTATATATATTTATTTTGTTCTTTTTATTTCAGTATATGTTTCTTTTTGTACGACATTATTATTATTCTTATTTTCTAAATTACTAACTAATAATTACTTCAAGACAATTTTTGATTTAAACATATTTATTTGTCTGCCCTCTTAAAGATATTGAAACTAATTGAGACAAGTGTATCAATATTTTTGTAAATTGTTCTTTTTATTTTAAGATTCGATCATTCGCGTGGTATTTTTATAGTGCGCTAAAACGCACGTTAATATCGCAATTCGACTGGTATTTTTAAATCGCGACACAGAAAGAAAAAGCAACCTCAGTACCAAACAGCTGTCTTTTTTTATATCTATTTTGTGCAATAGTTTGTACCATTTTTCTTGTAGTATTTGCTATTTCAAAGAACGAATTGATCATTTCGTGACAGCGCACGCCATTAAATCGTTTCCGATGCTCGATTCTCGACAAAAATTTGTTTTCAACGCACAATTGATTTCTGTTTAATAAACAATTAATAATTATCTGTCAGCGTGCTCTAGATTAAATGAAAAATCATTATCGCACGTTAAGTACGTCACTGATTAAATACTTTGAATTAATTAGTTTCAAATAACTTTTTTATAATTCTTCATAAAAAAAATAAAACAGTGCAAAATTAGTATTAATAGATGATTTCTATACACAGAAATAAAACATAATGTGCATTTTTGATAATATTTTAAACTTCATTTGTTTAAACAAAAATAAGAAAAGAAAATATAGATTCAAAAATATCTGAACTGAATTGAAATCAATTGAAGGAACACTTATGAGAAGCTGCACAAATTCTTTGATGCATCCGCTCAATTAGATGTGAATCTACTCCAAAGTGCGGATAAGAAGGCCGAACAAAAACATGATGTCAGTTTCGACTCGACTCAACAATAATAATATAGCAGGCAATTATTTCCTGTTTCCATGGGAATTCTTATCGACTGTTGTTGAGTTTGCATTTGTTCGGCGCTTCTAGTACATTCATTCATTATATATATATATATATATATTTTTATGTACTATTTATAGCTTTCAATAGTTAACGTAGCTTTCCGTTCATATGAACGTACACGCACAATATTAATTGATTAGAAAGATTTTGTATATGAAATGTGAATTATTTTTGACATATGTCAAATTGTTTGCACACCATTTGTTTATTAGTTGCTTAAGAACCGCTTATTTAGAAACAAAAAAGTCCATTATGTTGGAGTTAATCCTACTAATTTTGAAAATTATTGTAATTCGGTGGTTGTGTTTGCTTGCAGGTGAATCTATTCAGGTCAATTACATTCAGGAATTCGAAGAGGACGTACGAAGGCATTCCGGTGATGGCGTCCAACATGGATACTGTGGGAACGTTCGAGATGGCCAAGGCCCTCTCTAAGGTAATGTTTGTTTATGATTGAAATATCTGTGCCTGGCACATGCAGGTCGCGTGTGCACTTTGATTGATCTATTTGTTTTTTTTTATATGAATTTCGTTGAGCAGCACGGCCTCTTCACGACCATCCACAAATACTACAGCCTGGATCAATGGAAGAAGTTCGCCGACGAGAACCCCGATTGTCTGAAGAACATCGCCTGCAGCTCGGGAATGGCAGCGATGGACTTTGAGAAACTCTCCGAAGTGTTGAACGCCATCCCGGACATCTCCTTCATCTGCTTGGACGTAGCGAACGGATACTCGCAGCACTTTGTCGAGTTTGTGAGGAAGGTGCGAGCAGCTTTTCCCACGCACACCATAATCGTACGTAAAATAAGCAAGAAGGTAGATTAGAATTTGAGGAATATTTTTATTTAGGCAGGAAACGTTGTGACTGGAGAGATGGTGGAGGAGCTGATACTCTCCGGGGCGGACATCATCAAAGTCGGTATCGGTCCAGGATCTGTCTGCACAACCAGACTGAAGACAGGAGTGGGCTACCCTCAGCTGTCTGCAGTCATCGAGTGTGCTGACGCTGCCCACGGCCTCCAAGGACACATTATTTCCGTAAGGAGATAAAACGCCGAGATCTGTTGTGTTGTTGGCAATCGCTCAAATCTGTTTTGTTTTAAAGGACGGCGGTTGCACGTGCGCCGGCGACGTGGCCAAAGCCTTCGGGGCGGGCGCCGACTTCGTCATGGCAGGAGGAATGTTTGCTGGTCACGACCAATGCAGCGGTGAACTCATCGAGAAGGATGGCAAAAAGTTCAAACTGTTTTACGGGATGTCTTCCAGCACGGCGATGGAAAAACATGCAGGTTTAACAATATTAACGAACTATTACATCGACCTCAAAATATTCACATAATTTCTTTTAGGTAAAGTCGCAGAGTACAGATCGTCAGAAGGAAAGACTGTAGAGGTTCCCTACAGAGGTGACGTAGAGGCTACAGTATTGGATGTTCTTGGTGGCCTCAGGAGCGCCTGCACTTACACCGGCGCTGGCAAACTGAAAGAGCTTCCGAGGAGGGCGACCTTCATCCGATGCACCCAACAATTAAACACAATTTACAGCTAGTCACAAACTGGAGCACAATTATTATATGATCAACGCGGGGAGGGTTGAAAGACTATTTATTAAAAACGCGATCGCACACAACTTTTATTTCCTCTCCATTCAATTGAAACGAATTACTTATTAATGCAGAAGAGATCGCTAACGGAAAAACACCAACTTCAGGGATTATTCTTGTATTGTTTTAATTATTTATTTAAGATGGATGCGTGATAGATTGATTCATTTGTTTCTTTTGATTGATTAAATTGATTATTTTGTGAACGTTAAAGCGAGATTTAGTGTGATTCAACTACAGAAGAAATAAAGATATATAAATAACCTGATAATTTATATTTCACTACTATAGAACATCAATTGTGGTAAAATATCGATAAATATATAGAGAATTCTTGTGATTTAGGTAATCAATTAAATAGTCATATTAATTTATTTGTATTTTTATTCAACATTTTTAAAAAATTTATGAAACAAAAAACAAAACGAGATAAAACATAATTTTTTTAATATTTTTTAAACTTTAACATTATTTTTTTTTTAAGTTTTTTAAAATTGTGTTTGTAATTCATTAGTTCTCTCTATGTTCTATTCTTTTCTTTTTTTTTGGTATTAAAAACTTAATGAAGTACATGCGAAAATTTCAACGCTCGGTTGAAACGTTTGTTTACAAACAGTAAAATAACAGGCAATAAATAAACAATACAGGAAACATATACATATTCTGGTTTGAGAAAAATTGAAAAATTTAGTGTTAATCATCCAATCTGACTAGAGGTTTTTCCAGCAAAGTGTCGTTCGTTGGTTCATGATGATGATGATGATTGACCGGATTGCTGTATTCGTGTTGGCCAGGCGTTAACATGGCTCGACTCTCTGATCGTTGATTCGAGTTCATGCTATAAACGGGATTGTGGAAACGCATGCTGACATCGAACTTTCCGCTGCTGCGTTTCTTCAGCACAAAGTATACAGCTAAAGCGACGACGATTATCAAAATTGGAATGAGAACCCCAACGAGCACAGAACCGGAGCCTTTCTCCTCTGCACCATTGAAATTGTTCGCAGACGACTTCCGTACTCCAAATCTGGGCCTCCTGTCTTCCAAATCAGCTGATCGGGATGACTTTTCGCAATCCTCTCCTTCGGTGACGACTTTACCGGATTCGCACAGACAACGTGCACCAACATCGCTCGGTACGCAAAGATGACTGCACACATGTCCCACGCAAGCGTTCGTCGATTTCGGTTGCCTCGAGATTTGTGCGATCGCGAAATGTTCGCTTCCGTAGACGTTGCTCTTGAAATTCTCGCACGTCCTGTGCATCCCGTATAATGGACATTTCCCCATATGTCCGAAGCTGGTCATGTAATATAGGTGATCCTCAAAGAAGTTTAAACTGCTCGGTTTCGTGATGTTTGTGAAGAGGACGATTTTCTCGGTGCCGTCGTACTTCAGTCTGCTGATGCTCGACGTGTGCTGATCGGAGACGTAAAGTAATTTTTTGTTGCTATCAAAGGCCAATCCTGTTACGTAACCTGAAGAGCTCTTCACCAGCTCGTGTATTTTACTCCCATCCAAATTGGCTTTGTAAACCATCGATCTGGGACTGTTGAAAACCCACCATGTGGTCAGCGTGTAAAACACGTACTTGTTAACTGAATCCACCGTTAAACTCGTCACCTGACTGTGCATATCGATGTTCAAGACTTTCGAGCATTTCTGCTCCAAAAAGTTGCACACCCTGATTGACTTATCCGTACTATCCGCGTCCACGTAATAAACGTTCTTCGTAATCCAATCGACGGCGAGCTTGCGCGGCTTTCCAAGCTCTGCAATGTATTCCCCGCTCTTATTCGATCCATGTATCCTGTGCAAAGTTCCCGATTCCTCGATGGTAAAGTAAACGTACTCTTCCTCGACGTCTACATCTAATCCGGTGATCTTCGGCGTGTCTTCAGAGTGCAAAATAGTCAGCGAGTTATCCGCTTGCGATAATTGCCGTATCTCATTCTGAAGACTGAAGATCATCTTCATAGATTCTCCGATACTCTTGCACGAGGCTTTATCGTTTCTGATGATGAAACCTTCGTAGCAGGAACACGTGTAACTCCCGACTTCCTCCGTACACTTTTGACTGCAGATCGGCGGTTCCCTCATGCATTCAGCGATATCCTTGCAACTTCTTCCATCTCCGGACAATTCGAAACCTTCGTTGCACACGCACATCGGTCCGCTCGGTGTCGGCTTGCATTGGTGGTCGCAAGGGTTTGATCTACCGTTGCAAGAACTGGCGCACGCTCCATTCTCGTCGCTTCCTAAAAAAAGAAGGATAAAACCAAAATATGTACGAGATTATATTTTTGATGTGATATGACGATTTACCATCGTAGCAGTTCTCTTCTCCGTTACAAACGAGAGCAAGATCGATGCAAGCACCACTTTTACACCTGAACCCATGATCACACGGCACGTTCGAATTCAATTTGGAGATGTTCGTGTTGTTTGCGCAAATGCTTTCATCGCTACCATCACCGCAATCGTCAGTGCCATCGCAGATCCAGAAATTAGCAATGCATTTCTTGTTGTCGCACTCGTATTCATCGATGTGACAATCGGAACAACCCTGCTCATCCTCATGATGCGGACACTCAGATAGACCGTTGCATCTGGCGGTGTCCGGAAGGCAAAGAGACGTATCGCTCGTGCACTGAAATTCATTTGGACCACACTCCAGTTCACTTCTAAGCGCACAACCACGCTCATCCGAGAAATCAGCGCAATCATCGACATCGTTGCACTTTAGCTGTGCATCAATGCAGAGACCGTTGTCGCACGTGAATTGATTTGCATTGCAACCTCTCTGTTTGCAATTGCTATGCTCATCGGATAAATCCGGGCAATCCGCTTCGAAATCGCATTCCCAGTTCTTCGGAATACACATTCCGGAAAGACATCGAAATTGATTGGACGCACAGGTGTTCGAAGCGCAACCAACTTCATCGCCACCATCGTTACAATCTTTGATCCCATCACAAACGAACCTGTCGTGTATGCAAATATCGCTCGAACACTTAAAGTAATTTGCCTCGCACATCTTCGTTGTTTTATCAGCGCACTCGGTTTCATCAGATCGATCTCCACAATCAAAGTGCAAATCACAGACTAAATTCTTGTTGATACACTGACCGTTTTTACATTGGAAAAATCCGAATGGACAGGTGTTCGTGTACATGCAACTCTCTTCGTCTTCACCGAGCAAACAATCTTTGCGTCCGTTGCAGCGCAGCTCCTTCGGGATACAAATATCCGCGTTGATACAATGGAATTCGTTAGGGCCACATTCTTGCATCTTAATGCAAGTCGAGTTATCTGAAGATAAAGACATTCCCAGAGGACACGCACATTTGTAGCTCATGTGCAGTGGTAGACATATGTGCGAACAATTCTTTTGGCAATGATGCGGCGGGATAGGATAAGGAGTTGCTGAGACTAAATGCATATTCTCGATTCCCTCTGGTATATCCAAAGTAATTTTCTTGTTTAGACCATTACCGATGTTATCTTTCCGAGCCCAATACACTCGCCTAAAAATAAAATTTCATTATAACTACCATAAGATTTATAGAAGAAAAAAAATACCTGGAGTTGTGGTTCGTCCAAAACAGATCTTTGTTCAAAGTTGTGATGCTAACAGGAGCGGATTGTAAGGCACGAAAGCCGTGTCGGTCATCACCATCAGCACTTGTACTCTCTACATTTCCAGTACCGCTGTCCGCCCAGAAAACCCTATGCAAACCAGAATCGTAGTGCAAGGTTACAGGTCCCAAAAGACCAGATTCTGCGATGTGTGTCCTCGATGTTCCATCCATGCGTACTCGATCGATATGCACAGTTCTCTCGTTCTTATTTTGAGTGGCAAAGAACAGCACTCCTTCCTCCGGAACCAGCGCTAAAGAAGTAGCGACTTCTCCACCCATATCATGCACTAAAGTTTTGCGCGCTTTAGTTCTTAAGCTGAGAACCTGTTAAATCATATGTAAAGTTAAATGCGTATTTAAAAAAGAAAAACAAAAACACAAAATGAATACCTCAATCGTTTCGCGTTCGGTGTCGCACCAAAACAAATTGTTTCCAAGATAATCGTAATCCAAAGACTTTATGCTTCCGATCGATTCAGATAAAAGGACTTCACTCATTCCGCTCCCCAAATCAACACTGATTAACTTTCTGGTTGCAATATCCGATACGTATAAAGTGTTATTCAATGGACTGTAAGTCAATGCGCCGATTTCCTTTGCAACAGTTGGAAGAGCGGCGATGTCGTGTTTACCCAACAGCTGATGCTCGATCTGCACGAGCATATCTTTAGCTCCGACCACCAAAATTTGCTTCTTCAGAACTTCCTTGCAAGTGTGCTTATCTGAGGAGAGAATCTTGTCCTGACTGCAAGCACAACTATAAGACTTTGGGCCGCTGATTAAGCATATGTCGCTGCAGAAGGACATCGCGCACGGATTAAAAGATCGTGGCTTCAGCGCGGAATGATAGATGTGTAAGCCGTAGATGTATTCGCGCTTCTCCTTCACGAGCGTGTGGTGTTCTTTTCCGTTGAATTTATCGCAGGATTGAATCGAACGCGATCCCCAATCCGACCAATACAAGCGATTCTCGAAGACGGCGATCGAGTAAGGATGCTTCACGATTTCCTCCAATACAATCTAAAAACATATACATGATAAATGCGAATCAATAGATAGATTGAGCTATGCTCGAACCCTTCGATCCGTTCCATCCAATCGAATGCTTTCGAGCGTCATCGTTTTCGCGTCCGTCCAATAAAGACGTTCGTTCGGATAATCGATGGTCAGACCGTTGGGCCATCCGATATTGTTCGACACGAAGGTGATGTCTTGGGTTCCATCCATTTTCGACTTGGCTATCTTCGGTTTCTTGCCCCAATCAGACCAAAACATTTCACTGCAAATATATATATATATATAATACACATTTAATTTAGACACAATTCTATTGCAACTAAATGCAAATACCCTTCCAAAGGATTAAGAACTATGGCCCTGGGTTTGTTAATGTCTTGATTGACGAGGACGGTGCATTTGGTGCCATCGTTATGGCACACGCCGATGTGCTGCATTTCGGAATCAGTAAAGTAAATGTTTCCGGTGATCCAATCGACGGCCAAATCCTCCGGCGATCCCAAACCTGAAGTAATCAACAGTTCTCTGTGCGATCCGTCCTCCAGCGACCTGATGAGATTCTCGTGCTCCGAGAAGATGTCCGTCCAGTAAACATGATTTCCATCATAAGAAACACCGACGACTTGCTTCAGATCTTTCGCAATTGGGAATAGAAGTTCGGATTCGAGAAAATAACCGCGGATTTCCGTCTTCGAACTGAAAATCATCATCGCTTCACCGCCCACCACTTTGCACGTACGCATATCATCTTGAAGGATATACTTGTTGTCGCAGTAGCATTCGTACGACCCAGGCAGATTCTTGCATTTCTGATCGCAGATTCCTTTAAACATGCATCAAACAATTAAGTATTATTGACAGATTTCCAAAGAGAATACCATAAGTTTCACACTCGTTGATGTCTTGGCAAGTTTTATCATCGATAGTGTTGTATCCGCTGGGACAAAGACATTTGGGACCGGACGGCAGTTGAACGCAATCGTGAGAGCATTTGTGAGTAGCGCAAGTGGAGTTTTTATCATTGCAAGCGTTTCCTTCGTCCGTCTTATCCGGACAATGCGGTGTTGAATCGCAGACGTTCTCCACTTTGATGCAAGTCTTTTTGTTGCCGCACAAGAACAGACGTTTATCGAGTTTACAATCTTTGGGATGTATGTGGTTCTCTGCAAATTACAAAATATAATCAGAAGTTTACAAACAAAGATTGTGCAGTCATTTTTACGGCAATCCTCCTCATCGGAATTATCGTGGCAATCGTTTCCTCCATCGCATCTCCACTCATTCGGAACGCAATGTCCGTTCTTGCACTTGAATCCATCACACTCTAAGTTTATCGTGCATCCGATGGTCTCGTCTGTACCATCAAGACAATCGTTCTCCCCGTTGCAGACGAATTCCGTAGGAATACACAGCCGATCCGCGCATTGCCATTCCGTGCTCGAACAATTCGTGGGATTCATATGCAACAGCTACAAATTATAAAATCTTATTACTAATTAAATGAAAAAAGGAAAATATTACCTTAAAGTTTTCACAGTTGGCTTCGTCCGTGAAATCGCCGCAATCGTTTTCATCGTCGCACACGAAATTGTGAAAAATGCATTTCCCATTATTGCACCGAAAGTAGTTGGGTTCTTTACAGAAGAATAGATCTGCAAATAAAAAAAAAAATAAAAAGTTTGATGAATACAACCAAAAAATGAAATAAAAATTAATAATTAATTACCGCAATCCTCCTCATCCGATGAATCTAGACAGTCTGCGTGTCCGTCGCATCTTTTGGCTTTCGGTACGCATTTGCTGTTTCTGCATACGAAACTATCGGTGCCAGAGCAATTCGCATCCAGCTGGCTGTATAGGGAATCGAGGAAGCCGGTGCTGCAGCCGACCAGACCGGCCAGCAAAATGTAATTCAAAATCTTACACATACTGAAAATAATTATTAAAAAAAAAACAACAACTATTTTTTCAAATAAAATAATACGTCTGTAATTTACCTGACAACGAGCGAACATCGATAATTTAAAATTGTTAAAAATCGTTGTCGATGGTTTAAGATGAACGGCCGGATGGGAACAAAATGGTCGAGCACAAAATCAAACGAATGTGAAGTTGAAAGAAATAAAGTTAGAGGACAAACAAAAAACGTACCGCCAGGAAATGCTAATCTATAAATACGAAGATAAAAATGTTGAGAAAGTTTGCCGCTAAAACATATCTGTATGTACTTGTATGTATTTCATTGAAACATTATTATCTATCTATTCGTACGTTTATAGGAAACGTTAAAATATTTCATATATCGAAAGTATTTTTTTAACATCCACTTTATGATCATAATTTATTTAAATTCAATAGTTAGGAATGTATTCTTTAGCAATCTTATTACCATTCTAGGAATTATATTTACATTCGATGATAAATAAATTGTAAACAGTTTATAGTTTTCTCAAATAATCCCTCAAATAAATATTTTAAACATAAAAGATTTAAATTAAATTTAGAAATATTTTAACCTTTCCTATAAACGTACGAATAAATAGATAATATTTATCGGGAATAATGTTCCAATGAAATACATACAAGTTTCTCAACATTTTTATCTTCGTATTTGACGGTACGTTTTTTGTTTGTCCTCTCTCTGTAAATCTTCCATTTCTTTCAACTTCTCATTCGTTCGATTTTGTGCTCGACCATTTTGTTCCCATCCAGCCGTTTATCTGAAACCATCCGCATCGATTTTTAACAATTTTAAATTATCGATGTCCGCACTGGTCCGCTGGTTGTCAGGTAAATTATCGACATATTATTTTATTTGAAACATTAGTCTTTTTCTTTACTGACTGCATAATCTTTGCTTGCAAATTTCTGATTATATTTTGTAATTTGCAGAAAACCACATACATCCCAAAGATTGTAAACTGGATAAGCGTTTGTTCTTGTGCGGCAACAAAAAGGACTTGCATCAAATTGGAAAACGTCTGCGATTCAACACCGCATTGTCCGGATAAGAAGGACGAAGGAGACACTTGCAATGATAAAAACTTCACTTGCGCTACTCACAAATGCTCTCACGATTGCGTTCAACTACCGTCCGGTCCCAAATGTCTTCGTCCCAGCGGATACAACACCATCGATGATAAAACTTGCCAAGACATCAACGAGTGTGAAACTTATGGTATTCTCTTTGCAAATCTATTCGTACGTTTATAAGTGCTATATAAGAAAGGTTAAAATATTTCTAAAATTAATGTAACTTTTTTTTTTTTTTCCTCAATGAAAACAATTGATGTCATCGTTGACGGTGGCTCTTCTGAGGTGATTCAGGATACCTGAATCTATCGGGCTTGGTGGCGAAATGCAGGCATGACGGTGGTGATCCTCTCCATCAGGGCTTGCATTGCCAGAATGAGATCGGTGAACATTTCAATGCTGATCGCTTGGGGGGCGGAAACAGCTGCTGCAAAACTGGCTGGTCTGGTTTGGCCACGAGGCGCCGCAGAAGGCGACGGACGGGTCGGCTGGCTGGGCTTGAATTGCCTGGGAGCCTG